CCACCTTTGTGCGTACTTATGGATACAAACATTGATGTACTTGTGTCACTCCTTATCTGATTCGGTGAACTGCCCTATTGGCGGATCATAGAACGTATGGCGCTCCTGGAGGCTACGGCTGGGGAGACTGGAACCTCTGCTCATGCGGGCCACGCCGCTGAAGAAGGTGTTGCATCCTATGGCGTGAATCAAGAGTTTCCTTCTCGAGAGACTGCATACAAACCGTGCGGGAAACCCACCGTCAGGCGCTCACCGTTCGGAGGCATCGCGAGGCATACACTAGGCGTGCTTCTCCTACTGATTGTCGTATTTTTATGGACCACATCGAATTTCCTTGCCAGTGTACGTGCAATTCATTTTCGAGGTTATAAGTGTTTCATAGTCCCATTTATATCCCAGTTGATATACTGACAGTCCACTCAACATCCACGCAGACGATCTTCGCGGATAATACCTATTCCAAGCCCTTCTTCGTGACGTATCTCAACACTGCAGTGTTCACCTTACCACTTATCCCATATGCATTGCGCAGAGGTTTCCAGTGGTGGAAAGAAACGAGGGCAAACGCGGATGTCTCACACCAAGCAGAGGATGGACCATTAGAAGAAGAATCGCATCCATTTCTGAGCTCGGAGGATGAGCCCGGGATTAGACACGATGCTCCTGGCAATCCATCAGCGTCTGCAGATGGGCTACCTCGGTGTAGCAAGGAGGTTTGCGAAAAATTGGATTTCCGGGCGACTGCGCGATTAAGTCTCCAATTCTGCCTCTTATGGGTGAGCGAACTACACCTACGGAGCGAACTTGCACCCACCTGCTAACAAGGCTCCTAGTTTGCAGTGAGTGCCTCATTTACTTGACTACTATCATTACATCCATTTATGATGAACCTTCAGGCGAACTATTTCGCGTACGCATGCCTGCAGTATACCACGGTTGGGAGCACAACGATTTTAACATCGACAAGTGGTGAGTTGGGTTCGTTTGCATAATCTTGGAGGATACTGACAAATTAGGGGTATGGACTCTTATTTTCGGGGCAACACTCGGTGTAGAGAAGTTTACGGCACGTAAACTTTTCGGCGTCATTGCCTCTCTGACGGGAATTATTATTATCTCCAGGGTTGATTTATCTGGATCCAACGATGAAAATCGTGGCTCTTTTCCCTACAAGTCCCCAGCTGAGATAGCTATCGGTGATGCAATGGCTGCGTTTAGTGCCATATTATATGGCGTTTACATTATAGTGATGAAGAAGCGGGTAGGCGATGAAAGCCGGGTGAGCATGGCCCTGTTTTTCGGGTTGGTTGGCCTTTGGAATACTTTTATTATGTGGCCCGGGTTTTTTATCTTGCACTTTACCGGACTAGAACCGTTTGCATGGCCTGACTCACACTTAACATGGACGATAATCCGGGTATGTATTAAGATGTCATCTTCACAGTTTATCTTTTGTTTCTCCCATCTGAAACGAGCCTTCGCGGTTGAACTGCTAACCAACCTCGCTCTCTAGACTAATGCGATTGTATCGCTGGCTTCGGATATCTGCTGGGCCTATGCTATGCTTCTCACTACGCCATTGGTTGTGACAGTAGGACTCAGCATGACAATTCCTTTGTCCCTTATTGCCCAGATTTTCATCCATGGCCAATATTCGACCGTGCTTTATTGGATAGGCGCAGCGATCGTCTTTCTGTCTTTCATTTTTGTAAACCACGAGAGCAAGACTGAAGCAGAGTGAATTGAAGTAAGAAGGGCTGGGCGATACAATCATTTTGCATGCTGCTTAACCTAGAGATACCCTTATATATACATCAGTGGAGCAAAATCCCAACTAGAAAGTACATGGACGATCTAGCCGTCGAATATCATATATTTCGGATTCTTAGAGTAAAGCTTCGAGATGGTGCACATCCATCATGTATCTAGATGGTGATGAAGAGAATCTATATTTTGAAATATACCGATTCACATTCCGATGCAATACGCCCAAATATACTCCATAGTCCCATAAAGGACGGTATATGCACTTCCCTATCCAATCAGAAGCCGACATCCGGAGCAATTGATTACTTATTCCGCTTCTTGGCTAATCTCTTCTGGGCCCTGACATCCTTTTTCAACCTCGCATCCACAATCTTATATTTGCCCTTGACGCCCCTTGGCCGGCCTGAAATTCCTCTGTTACCACCCTTTGCTACGACTAACTTCACGTTCTGTTTGGGCTTCTTCTTTGTCGCCCTTGCCATCATTCTCGCAATGGTCTGTGCTTTGTCTCTCTCACTCACACCCTCGTCTTCTGCCAAAAGCGCGGATTTTTTCTTCAGTTTTTCTAATCGCTGAGCTTCTTTGAATTTTTTCCTGCCCTTTGCTTCACGGACTTTCTTGATTGGCCGAGCGTTGATAGCACGCATCTTTTCGCGGATTGCAGCAGCGGCGGCGGCTGTTATAGGTCGGAGAGGTTTGGAATGTTTGTTCTCATCATCAAGGAACCATTCGGGCAGACCATCAATATCTCTGAATGCATACTTGTTGAAACCATCGTCGACGACATCGGCGGAAGTTTTCTCGCCTGTGGCCATCTGCTGGGCGAGTGCCATGGCTTCGGCAGTGATGATGTCGATATCTTATCTTAGGGTTAGCAATTTGGACATATTCAAAACCAGGCAAGATTTGTCACCTACCGAGTTTACCTTCCTTCGTGCGAGGATCATCTTTTTGTTCTTCGAACCCTTCTGCATTTGGTTTGGAAGAACGGCCACTCTGCTTCTTTGTCGCCGGAAGGGAATCCACAGACATTTTGCTCTCGTTGTCAGTCGTTTCGTAATCTTCGGAATCATTGTCATCATCAGTCTCCTCATCTTGTTCCGATGGATTCTGTTTCCTCTCTGCTTCCTCTCCCTCTTCATCTTCCTCATCGTCCTCATTGCCGAGACCTTGGAATAAATCCTGATCAAAAAATAACGCCGCTTTGTTAGAAAGACCATTTGCTTGACCATTTCTAAGAATGCCAGGTTGCGCTTGAGGGGCGTCCTCATCATCGTCAGTTAACCTATCACTTTCTTTATCAGAGTCTGAAAATCCTTCCCACTCCTCCGTCTCTAAGCCCTTGCGAGCTTTCTTGGCCCGTAATTTTGAATCGCGCTCCTCGCGATCTTCTTGATACTTTTCGTACATTGCATCTAGTTCTCGTTCAAGGCGGTCCTCCTCATCATCACTCGCCACATCGCTTGTAGCTGAACTTTCTTCATCTTCCTCGCTCTGAACATCAACCATCTTTCCACTCGTAATATTTCTCGTCGCTCCCTCTCGAGTGATAGGTTTTATAGAGAACATCGCTCCCTCCCCCATCGGTCCACTCTGCTCCATACCAATGTCCGTTGGCGTGATCATGTGCATTTGTAGCCGTACTATTTCTTTTTGCTTCCGTTCGTTTTCTCTTCGGCGTTCTTTCTTTTTCCTCGATGACTCGTGTTCCTGTAATCGCTGCATTTCTTCTTGGATAGCGAGCTCTTCATCCATGGGCTCGATTTCAGCAACCTCTTCTGATTCCTCTGCCTTCTTGGCCCCCTTTTTGACCGCCAGCCCAAACTGCTCTCGCACCTTTAGACGCCATCTTAAGAGAGTTCGGAATTCCTTTTTTCCTAAAACTTTGAGATCCTCGCAGCAACTTCGAATTTCGTCTGTGGTCTCAGGAAGCCGTTCGAGGGTTGCCAAAGCAAGGTCACCACTTGGAGACTGATGAAAACTCAATGTATTATACGTTCCGAGGATTGCGATTGGGTCGGTAGTATTAATGAATTCTGTGACGGGGATTTCTTTATGCTGTGTGTAATCTCCCTCTTCATAACCCTCTCTTTTTCTCTTTTTCTTCTCCGGGTTGAATACCTTCGCTTCATTGTTCGGCGTGGGATCTTGCAATTCCGCAAAAACATGTCTGGGATCCAGGAATTTCGGGTCCATGCGCTTCGGTGCTTTAAATCCCCGGCATACAACGAAAATTTCCGCAGAAACATTTCTTGAGGACGGGGGTTTCGTTGCTTCGACAGAAGTAAACAATTGCTTAAATACCCACAACAATGAATTGTAATCCTTCGATCTAAAGACCTTTGTAACGAATGTTCCGCCGGCAACCAAAAATTCCGTTGCGAGTTTCAACGACTGTAGGGCTAATTCGGCCTGGGAGAAAGCATCTTGTACCCAAGCAGTACCAACATTGGGAGCTCCGTCGTGAAGAACCGTATCCGCTTTCCAGGTTTTCAAATGTTGCCGGATTGTCGCACGACATTTATCCGTGGTGATGTCGCTTTGAAAGGTGATCACTCGAGGTATCGGTTTAATTGGCGCGAGGTCAACTCCGACAATAAGAGACTCTGTGGGCATACATTCCGCAGCCACTTGACACCATGACTAGAAAGGAATTTCGGGTCAAAATAACTTCACGAGGAGTAACATAGGACAACGTACACCAGGTGCTGCGCAAAGATCAAGAAGTACTTTGCTCTTCTCAAGGAAACCGTATTTTTTATTAAGTTGGATTAATTTGAAGGCTGCTCGAGCTCTATAGCCTTTCTCTTTGGCAAGCTTATACCACTTGTCCAAGCGACCCTTGCCATGCTAGGAGACGAAATCCTGTTAGCTGATGTTCTCAGGGAAGTGCTTGGAGAATGGTCAGTACCTTTTTCTGGATAGCCATAGTTACGCGACCTCAAGTCTAGAGTAGCTGAGGAGCAAAACGGACAACCAGACGCCGCTCACCTCGCCGCCTTCAAATCAGCTCGATTAGATACCGAGATCGAAATATTTGAATGCCAAGATCCATCAACAGCCACATACTTCTAGCCACAAATCACATGATATTATGTAATCCGAATATGGCTTGGCGCGGATGACATCACGTTACTCTGGCTCTCGGCCTATCAGATGATGGAACGACGACCACGCTCAGTGGTTGTCATGATGATGGCATTCAATGCCAATTCATCACTCTCTGAAAGCAACCCCCAGAACCCTATCCTTCTATCAAGTGACTCCCCTTCGAGCTTTGATTCATGTTTTTTGCGGGCTTCATGTGATGCCGGCTCATAGATTCTTCTTATGGCGCATACGGAGCCTCGGAAGCTGGTGAACCAACAAAAGGGCCGTCAGTCAGACCCACCTCCGAAATCTCATTTAAAAGAGGACTCTTCACAGAATGGGCGCGAAAATGTGACCGTATGTGTCATTTCATCTGTTTTAGTGGTGATAGCAGCTGAACTCCTTTTGTTTAGACGTGGTACATGAAGTCCTGGCCTCGGAAGTCCAAGGCACCAGCGATAACGGAGGTTGCGCGCGAGAGCATTTCGGCAACAAATACACATCTGTCGGAACGGACTCGATCTAGTACACCTGTGTCGCGACAATCGAGGACCCAATCCATAGACCTTATGAAGAAGGGTAGACTGTCAACAAGGTCACTTCCCGCCGATGTTACTACTACGAGAATCAATGTTGCTTCCAGTAGATCGTCACCTGTGCTGGGAACGTCCAATGAGTTCTCGCCGGCTACCAAACCTGAAAATGGGGACGATAGCGCTAAAGAGGAGGCTCTGATCCCTGTGACCGAGACAAAGAATAGCGCACAAACAGAAGAGCAAAATAGATGGAAGGAAAGTCTCGAGACTGACGAAGAACCGACGAAACCAGATCAGCCAGCAGAGAAAGGCGCTCAAGGAAATACGGCAAGTCCACAACCTGGATGGTTCAGTTGGCTTTCACGTAGCAAAGATGGGGCGGATAATTCTACCACTGATGAAAACAGGCAAACCACACCAACCGGTGTCACGTTAACTAAATCCCCGATAAAGATTGAGCCTGCCCCTGAGACGGAGCCAGAGACTGTAAATCAGTTGGTAGCTGATTCAGACCAAGATGCAAGCAAGAATATGAGTGTGGAGCCTCCTACGAATACGGACAGCACTTCGACCACCACACCTCAAAAAAGATCTTGGTTATATATGTGGGCAGTGAGTCCTGCCACTTCTCAAGAAGCGAATTTTGGAAATGGGAACCCCAAATTAGAAAAAAGCCAATTAGTCGAGACGAACCCAGCAGAGTCGTCGCAGCAGGTGATGCCGGACCAGGCAGAAAGTATGCATGCGACGGGACCTGACGTGAATGCTACTGTCAATGATGCTACCCCGGTACGAGACGTTGCCAGACCAACCAGCTGGCTTTTTTGGTCTAGAGAAAGACAAGATACGGGAGCTACGCCGAACACCGCGCAAGAAACCTCCACAGAATCACCTGGGTCAACACAGCAGAATAACCCGGAAGCTACAGTAGGCCCGGTAGATGCCCAACCGGCTCCCGCTGTATCAAATCTAAAGTCAAAAAATAAGGGCTCTTCAAAATCCGCAAAGGCTGTTGCGGTGGAACTAGGCCCTGAAGTTCCGCCTGAATCGGCTAAACAGCCTGTGTCTTCGCAAGCAAAGAAGTCCCATACTCCCCCCAATCAAGTATTACCTTCATTTGAAAACACTTTCCCCTCACAAGAGCGGCCCGGCATATTTCAGCAACTAGGACGCTTAATTTATTATGGCAAGGGCCCGGAACCGAAACATGTTTTACGTGTGCAGGATCGGCCTCAGATTAAGAAGGCACTGGCTATCGGTATTCATGGCTACTTTCCCGCTCCGTTGATACGAAATATCATTGGTCAACCCACAGGAACATCAGTAAAATTCGCGATGATGGCAGAAAAGGCCATCCTACAATGGGCCGCAACTAATAATTCACCATGCCAGGTTGAAAAGATCATACTCGAAGGCGAGGGCCGTATATCTGAACGGGTGGATCTACTATGGAAACTACTACTCAACTGGATCGACCATGTCAGGAGAGCTGATTTTATTATGGTATCCTGCCATAGCCAGGGAGTACCTGTGGCAACGATGCTTGTAGCCAAATTAATTGCTTTTGGCTGCATTAGCTCTGCACGTATATGCATCTGCGCAATGGCCGGGGTTAATCTCGGTCCGTTCCCAGACTATAGGTCAAGGTGGATAAGTGGCTCTGCTGGTGAATTGTTCGATTTTGCCGATTCGAAAAGCAAGGTTTCCCAGGACTATCTGACAGCACTTGAAACTGTGCTCGATTCCGGAGTCAAAATAGCGTACATAGGTAGTATTGATGATCAGCTGGTGTCCCTAGAGGTATGTCGCCCCCGATATGTCATTCCTAGTCCACTTCTGACGTAGCAGCAGTCGTCTGTTTTCGCAACCATTTCCCATCCTCATATTTGCCGCGCCGTATTTGTGGACGGTAGGGTACATGCGCCAAGTTTGTAAGCAATATCCCACTTTGTGATCATGTCAGTGCTGCGGCTTACCCATCCTCTTGTAGTGTATCACATTTAGTTGGCTTCTGTATGAAGCTGCGTAACCTCGGAATATCCGATCACGGCCTTATCCGTGAACTCAGCTCCCCATTGGCAGGAAGTTTATACTTAGGAGAAGGACACTCTCGCCTCTACGATGACGATGCTGTTTACCAGTGAGTTCCCTCCTGTGGTCATTCCGGGTTTGCTTTGCTGACCTTTGCTGACTTTTATCAGACTCGCTGTCCGATTCGCGCTCGAAACAACACCTGCTCCCAGTACGAAACTGGAAATACATACCGTTCGTCTATCGAACCCCTCGAATCCTTATATTCTCCCTTTTGCCATGCGAGGTGTCCTGGAGGAAGAATACGTTCGGAGAGAATTATCCGAAGAAACAATCGAACTTCTAAAACAATTTGATGACTGGAAACCATCTACCAAGGTATTGAAGGATGTAAAATTTAGATTGGAAGGGATCCGGTCGAAGCTGTGACTCAGGTTGAACAGTAACCCATCTGGGGGTTCAAAGAACTATAAAAGATTTTCCTGCCATTTACTCCGGAATCCACGGAGTACCACTTAGCCTTTAGCCACTATGTTATATACCCTATGTCCTTTAAGCCATGAGCTTTGCCATGCTAGTTGTCTTGGGGGTCTATGTTTAGAATAGAGATAGAAGTAAGTGAATAAGAGATGAAATTGTTCACGCTCTCTCTCACTATCCAAAATAAAGTAGAACATTCAGAGATAATAGCTGCAAAGGATGTCTTATCATCCTTCCTCTCGGTCATCTATATTCTTAAATACCTAATTTTTTTTTTTTTTTTCACACACTTTCACCAAGGCTCTCAGGCTATGCTTGACCAATATTAATATAATATCTCCTCAAGCTATGCGATATATGTGGTTTCATACACACACAAGTAAATTCACAGTTCTGACGATCTGTAAATTGGTGATGTCCAATTGACCCTGTCCTTTCGATCGATGCTCGAATATTCATACCCGCATATAGAGGACTAGAATTCCAGGAAGACATATAATAGCTCTGCAGGATATATTCACTTTCAGTTTCTTAGCAACTGTGAAATCCACACAAATCCATTTTACGCAGAAACTCTGAGCGAGGGGAGATAGAGATACAGTGATGGGAGCAGTTGTGAAGGAACGCAGAATGTCGCCCAACTGAGAGTGGAACCGAAGGAAACTCTTCAAATAAATAGCACTAAAATGATGCGTAAGGTGGCTCACCACTCAACGAGCCAAACCACTCAACGAGCCAAATTCCTTCCAATGCTCCACGCTACGAATTTATTAATTATCTCAACAACGAATTATTATTATTAAACTAGCTATTAAATATTAAATGAGTGTGTTCTTTAAAGCATAGAAATTAGTGTGGCTATGAAAATAAACGTGTGGACAGCCTGATATTGCGGCCAGAGCGAGAGATACGGGGGGTGGATAGGAAAGATTGTAAAGGAATGTCAGCAGTAGATTTCTCAGCTAGAGAGCCTAAAGGCTTGTTAGGGAGGCTAGTAAAGCTCTTACTACTGCTTTGGGAAGATTGTATAGGCTTGCCGCGACGAGGTTCTTTCGTAGGGAGGCCCTGCCGACGGCGCTTTGAAGCCGGCGCTTGAAGCTCTGACTGCCAGCATTTACTAGCACGTTCAACAGCCTGTCTCTCCTTCTCTGCTTGTTGTAAAGCCTTTTTCTCCTCACAGGCAACACGCTGGGCCTCTCGTTGTATAGCACGTTCAAGCTTTTCAGCCTCTCATTGCTCGCGGGCCTTCATACAGGCAGTCTCTCATTCAATCCGTTTTTCTTCAGCCTCCCTAGCTGCCTGCTCTCTTTGGAGCTCCCGTTGAAGCTTTGCCTCTTGTGTTTGAGCAATTTTGTGAGCTTTCTCAGCCTCTATTTCATCCCAGCGTTCCTGAGCCTGCAGAACTTTTGTAGGACTCCAGAACTGGGCCTGGCTCGGATTATCGCGATCAAGTAGGCCTAGGGGCTTGCCTCACTTGCGGCGCTGTTTCTCCATCATGATAGTCAATTTTAGAGCCCGATTTTCATGCTCTAGCAGTTCATTTCATATTGCAAATTGCTTGCTGGCTTTGATAACCTGTCCAATACTCTGCGAATTTAAGCTGTGCTGAAGATGAATACCCTTAACCTCTTGACAAAGCTCCTGTATATTTGTAGGGATGGAAGGCTCAACTAGTGGTGCAGGGCCTTGTTGATCAGCAGTTTCAAATCAGCTTAGTTGATGCTGGGGATCCAGGGGATAAATGCCAGTCTTTGCAAAGCCAGCACATATATTGTCACCTGTCAAAGCCTTCTTCCATGCTGCATTGAATAGTCTCCAGAAATCCCTTTTTGTCATTCAAATATAGCCCAGTCCACAGCATAGTAGGGATTCCAGCTCGCTGGAATACACCTTGCCCAGCGGCCCAAAAACACCAACATCAAGAGGCTGCAAACAGTGGGTAGAGTGTGGTGGAAGGATCAACAGCAGGATCCTTTCGCGGTTTGCATATTCAATAAATTTCATATTTATATGGGAAGAATGCCCATCTAGTAGAAGCAGACATCTTGCCCTACCTGCTTTTGCCTTTGTATGCGGATTAAAAACCCGTTGCAACCACTCCAGGCCATATTCATCATTGCTCCAGCTGTTCACTGAGGCTGCAAAGTAGGCATATTCACTTCTGTCAAAATCATCCAGCCATGTATCCTGAAGATCTCTGGATTCACCCTGATAAATAAGAGCTGGAGGTAATGCAATCCCATCTGCAGAGACTGAACAGAGCAGTGAGAGGAATTCCCGGCTTCCATCCTGAGTTGCAACACTTTTACCAGCTTGTAGGGCTTTAATAGAGACAAGGTGCTTTGAGGCATGACAGGAGCCTAGGAGGAATCCTTTTTCATCAAAGTTGTATGTGTTTTCTGGTGTAATATTATACTGGCTGATTTTCTCACTCAACTAAATGCAGCAGTGCAAGCACTCAACAAGTTAGCCAAATTCAACAACTGCACTTGCAAAGAAGCAAAAAAAAGCATCAAATTACAAGGCTATAGAAGTGCTGAAAGCAGTGGTAATTATCTGCTACCTGTCTATTCTTGTCAAGCGGCTTGAGATAAACAGTCTTGATCTTGTCCTTGTGGCGCTCACAAAACCATGTCACCCAGTTGATTCCCATGTCCTCTCCCGTCATCTCTTGCATGATATTTTGAAGGATTTGAGGCGTAGGAGCAAGGCCGCGGTCGCAGAGCTTGTTTATATACTCTAGGAGCTCATCCTCCTGTATATTGGTGAGCTTCTTCTTATGTCTGGAGGTTGCTTCATGGTGATTGACTTGTAGGCCTTGATGCCGCTGGCGCAGGGTCTCTTGGCTGAGTGAATATTTTTTCGCGGTCGCACTGTAATTTGGAGTCTCTTGCGATTCAAGATCTTCAATTGCAAGCTTAATTGCTTCGTTGTTGACCATGCTATTGCATAATGAAGTTGAGCGTTGAAGAAATTTGATGGTGCGAAAATTTGGCTCGTTGAGTGGTTTGGCTCGTTGAGTGGTGAGCCACCTTAACTATTTCGCCCCTCCCCCCCTTTTTTCTTTTTCTTTTCTTTTCTTTTTCTTTTTCTTTCCCACAAAAGTCTTGAGAACCTTAAGGCTTAGCTGTAGTTAAACCTTGCGCTTGGGGATATATGGAGGGGGCACGAAATTAATTGACAGTATATAGGGTATCTTTTTATCACGTGTAGGATTATTGTCTAATGGCTGTACATTGGCGGAGCTGGTTGACCTGTAAAGAATTTGTTTCGCTGGCCCTCGGTGATGTTAGGGGCTAGAAGTCGGAAAGCAGCGTAGTGTCTCTATTCGACAGTGAAGAAAACCATGAGCAGAGCTCGATAGACGTTCTGCATCTTGGGACAGGGACCATTCAAGGTTACGGTTGTGGAAACGCCGTCAAAAAGGCTCCTTCGATTTCATCTAGAATTACGAGCTTGGTTAACATACTAGACACTCACAGGGCAGAAAGTACCAAAACAGTCTCTTGATGGAAAGAGGAGAACGCACCTCTCATCCCATCTAACGCCTCGAAAGCAATTGCATAGTTCTTGACTGCGTCAATCACGCATCTCAATCCATGCCGAAGCCGTTCACGTAGCTGATCTGTATTGCTCAATGGAGTGTTTTCCGCATTATGTTTTGTGATGCAAGATTTGTAGTATAACATGAGCATAGCATAGCTACTTTGCATAGCACAGCAAGCGAATGAAGGCATTGTGCGCGGCATCGGGTCACATGATGGAGTAAAGCCTCCAGGTGGTCTGTCTCCGTAGGGAGGGTGTGGGTACGGCAGACTGTCAAACATCTGAGCAATAGTAAGGGCAGATTCAAGGCATATACTGGTCGAATCGTAATTGGAGAATGGGAAAGATTCTTCGGATACCCAGGAGTATGTCGATGCATCTGAGGCGGGAGGGGAAACAGACGGCGAAATATCGCTAGGAGTCGGCACTTGAGATAAACTGGCACTGCAACATGAAACTTTAGAATCTGCTCGCTGTTCGGTGCTCGTGCTTTCTGTATCTGCGGAACCGATACTCGCGCATGTAAGGTCACAGTGCTTTTTTATAAAAATCGGTATATCTAAGAAGGCGCGGAACCGATGAATTTTGATACGAGCACTGTAACTTCTTTGTTACTATGCAGACTAGGGCGTTGTTGGACGGAGACTCATATGTACCTGCTGATTTTTATTCGCGCAATTGCCCTGACGCTATTTGCAGTGATCGCCTCTGAACGATACGCATCAAGCGCAGAAACATGTGGTGGGGGATGAATATTAGCTTGGGAGAGGGCAGCTAAAGCCCAAAAATCCAGCTTCTTCACTCTCTCATATATGCGAGACATATCGGCGCGGCCCCTTAGAGCACGATTGAGGTCACACACGTATTGCGTTGCAGAAACGAGAACTTGCTGCGCTTGGACTAGTACAGCCCATGCCTAAAGCGCTGTCAGTAGCTCCTCGAAGCAAAATATTTAAGAGATCGGGTACGGTACATCAGAATCAGCAGAAAAAAGGGGCAATGGGGTGACAAAGTGAGGGTCCGTCACGAGGATTGCGGGAGCCTAAAATTATAATAGGGATTAGACAGCCTTCATTGACTTAGGGATCCCGGCCTTACCGTGTTACTAACGATTGAGCCCTGACAAACGCAGTAAAACTAGAGTGATGATTAAAACCTATCCATATACCTTGCTAGCGGCGTTCCGCCGGGGGGGTTTTCATCATACTGTCATCCACCACGCTCTCCGTCTTGCTTCAGCAAAAATATCATCTTCCCTGCCTTGTGTGTGAAGTGACATATTGAGAGCCTTGACATATGCCTCGCCAGCACGGTTCCGCATTTTAACAAGGTTACCTCGCTGTGTATATTCATAAACGCTGAGGATAAGCAGCGCCAGAATGCTCTCCAGTTCAACGGGCGTGTTTGGGTGCACTGGAAGTCTTTTGGGTATCGGTTGCTCATTGAGGAGCGCTTGCGCAGGACTATCACAAGATTCAGTCAATTCTGACTCTGCTTCCACGCTATCTAGCGCGGCACGGGCAAATCTATGAGAATATGCGCGTCTTATCAATATAGACTCCGACGAAGACGGATCCGGATCTGCTGGGTGCGGAACACGCGCGAGCACCGCCGAAATGGCTAAGGTAACCGGTGATTTCGGATGATAAACAAGTGGCGGGTTATCAGATGTCATATCCGGGCTTGAAGGAAGCTCCAGGGGTGAATCCAAGCCTTGCGGTGCGTGGGGGGGAGGGAACACTGGGAAATAATCGTGAATAAATGTGTAATAACCATTCAATCTAGTATGCGTATTAGAATGCCGAAATTAAGAATCCGAATGGAAGAGTTCGACAGAGTAAGCACTGACATGTCTTGTTCGCTTCCGTAGACCCTAACTCTAGTCGGGGCCGACGGAGGGAGGGGTGTTGGCACAGGTTCTGAGGCCAAAGCCGGATAAGAAGCAGAGGATCCCGGCATAAAGAGGCCTTCAAGCATTGACTGGACTTCGTTGGGAAAATCGAGTGCTCTGAGACCGGCGCCAGGAACGGCAAGCGTGTCAACTTGGTTGAATAGTTCTATTTTGCTTATCGGATCAACGCCATCCCGTCAAAGGTCTCTTCGCGGCGGCTCATACCTTCGTCAAGCCGAGGAATCGGATGGACAACGCTCCATATTTTACTTTCCGAAGATTCCATCGCTACTGATGCTGCCGGAATGACCTTCTTCTTTCGCGGACCGCCGCGTCTACTTGGTAAATAACTGCAATCTTTTCCCTTGAGGGTGCACTAATGGATGGATAAAACCGTTTAGCATGTCTTCGAATACTGATATTTCTGCACGGCCATTGGCGCTTTACCCACGTACACCAGAGCATGGGTCCTTTCCGTCGCATCTAATTCTGGAGGCTCGACTAAGATTGATTTTGTTACTAAATAAGTTATAGTTCGTACACAAAGCATGAGAGTGGAAAGCCATTTTAACAAGCAGGTAGGCCAAGGAGAACAAACAGCGCGGAACCGAACATTGTCAATACGAACTGAAACTGGGCGTGACTTCAGGTAGCAAAGAGAGTCCACCATGAGGACGCATCACTTACCATGATAGACAAGCAACCTTGACGGGCGGCTTCGTGAACTTCTTGCGCGTTCCTTTCCCCGCTGGGGGCCTTTCCAGGCGCATCTCAGTCTTGTTGTCCTGGTCCATGGCGAGACTGAGGGCGAAGCTGCCTGGTTACGGCGACTCAGAATTGAGAGGCAGTTATATAGTTCAGCTTCCTAGCAGCTTGGCTGTCTTAGAGTGAATTGACATGCTTGGGAATGTAGCAACAGTCCAGGCCGGGCGATGGGCGGGTGTGTGTTGTTGAGCGATAGTCGGGATCAGCCTAACGGGGGGGAAACTCGAGACGGCTCCAAAATTGCATATGTCATGTGCCAAGAAAAAGGTTCGTGTCCGATCCGCTGATGAGTCAGCGACCCATCTGAGATCTCACCAACGGATACCCCACCATCGATCGTGACGGCGGCTTGGCGTCAGCGCTTGGCTCTTCAACGGCTGCACGCCTACTGGGAACCACTGGAGGGAGGGCCTCGAGGGCTCAGCCCGCCACGCAGCTCTACTAATAGAATCTTGCCAGGTCGTCAATGGCACTCGCTTACTCGGCTTGCCAGATCCTTGGAACGACTGACATCCACCTGCATTGACAGGAAATTGCCAAACGAGCCAACACATGAGCTAATTATCGACGAGTGGCCGGACTTCATACCAAGCTTTGCCCGAAGTACCAATTTGGCTAGGCCGCGAGCTCGGCTGCAAGCTAATATACGTAAGTCTGCTGGGGACGGCCGCACAAATGTGGGTCACATGATTCTGGCGACGCCCTGTATTGATCTATTGCCACCAGGTTGACAGCCACAATATGGAGCACTCAGCCTGGATTGGTGCGGAATTTGAGGTTGGGCGATCATCTTGGGATGGGGGAAGTTGTTGGATCTGCATGGCTAGCCTTTTGAGAATAGTCCTGAGAATGGTGACGAGGAAATCTTGCATTTCCTCATTGGAGAAATTCATCATGGGCATGATGTGATGAGAAATAGAATATCGAGCCGTATTTTAATGATCTATACGTTGTAGTATGCTCGCATTTAAGATTGTTGATATATTTTTCTCGGGGCCACAGCTACTGAACGCTCTTCCATACACTTTTGGGCACATTTGTTGGCAATCCGTGGCCCTTCAAACACTGATCAATAAGCCACATTCCCACGACGAATTCCTCCCTTGACAGCATGCCGACAGCGTCGTGGCTTACTAGTTTCCAAATTTTCGCCAGCTCAGCCTGCGGTAGCCGAGAGCGACTCCAGATATCTCGGACCACCAGGTCTACAACCAGATCTTCATATGCAAGCGACTTCCTAATAACCTTCTGATCGACGTTCGGGTCATGCATAACACCAAATCGGGCCACACCTCTATTAGCTTCCCAAACTTCCTCGTATCTTTTCCGCTCACTCGAAATGACTTGGCCCTGCACGACGTTTCCACTCTCTATCTGAAACACTTCAGGGTTGGGATTAAAAGTCACCCGCCTTGGTGGTTTTGGGGGTAATTCACTGCCAGATTTTGGCTCATCGAGCATGTCCATCCCCCTTTTTAATATCTCATCAGGGCCGAGGGCTGGCGGATTTACTTTGCTGGAATCGCTTGATAGCTGCAATAAGGGCTGAGAGGGAGAACCTCTCTGCCTTGGCGGTGGCGGTGGCGGTGGTTGTTTAAGACCACGTTTCGAACCCAATGCAGCGTGAGAAGGTATCAAATATGATGCGGTCATTGCGTCCGCTAGTGCGCTGTCGGATATGTCCGATTCCCGTACTTCCAATGTGTGGTTGACCCCGGAACCTTCTTGGTCCGTATGCAGACTTGGTGGGTCGAGCTGTAGCAGTTCTGACTCCGTAGATAATTGGGACGATCGTGGTGGAACGGGGGGTGCTTCTTTCTTCCTCTGAGGAAGGGGTGTCGGGCTCTTCCAAGAACTCATCTCGGCGTGAGGATCTCGACTGCCGTGTCTTACAGCCTTAGAAGCTGTGAATTCTCGTCTATCGGCTAGCTCAGCGCCTGTCTCCGAGTCCGAGGATAATATGGCGGATGTATTTTTATTGCTCAAAGGAACAGCTGGAAAATGAGCAATTGGGGAGATATTGCGACTTCTGCCGTGTTGTTGATTGCCACATAGCTCTGTTCCCGTGGCCTTTACCAGCTTGGTTCCTGGTTTCAATGCGGCTCGTTGTGGAGGAATAGGAGGCTTGGCCGTGATAGAAGGGTTTTGAGAAGGTGCTTGCCGCGAGAAAGATGCCTTTTCAAGGGGTATTGAAGCCTCGGCGGAAAATTGCTTGATTCTATCTCTCACCGTCGCCGTGGCCCGAATATCATCATGCTGAAGCCCATCCTTACTCGCTGACTCGGCGTCAGCGGTCACAGGAATCTTCATCCCATTTTTTCCTTGCCTGGTTCCTTGTTTTAGCAGGAGCGGCTTTGAGAATTCGAGATGTAAATCCTATTATTGCGCCGCGCAAAGCGTTGAATGAGAATTCGTCCCGGGGCGCCTGTGGTGTCTAGAGCCCCTGTCACGTGTAGTAGATTAGTCAGCATATTAGTTGTCTCGCTAACCAGTTAACCTAGTTAGTTACGAAGTTAGTTACGCAGTTAAATAGTTTAGTTACATACATCCCAAGGATCCTTGATAATATGATCATCACATCATTCTCAGTACATTTGGTAGCATGCTCCTTGGCTTTCATTCAAGGATTGCTGCATTTTGCTGTGATAATATTACCACGGACATATAACCACTTCTGATCTAGTTGACTTGCCACAATAAGAGATTGGTCAAAGCCTGCTTTGATACATGATATCCAAATTTTTCAAGACTTTACAGGCTTCTTCTGCAGGTTTATATATTGCTATGCCAGAATTACAGCATCTTTGACTAATCTGTTACAGAAGAGCAGCATCAGGTCTTTAATTCAGTCTGCCCAAATGAGCCCTGCCTATTTGCCCATCATGCTCTCCGACTTTAGTTCGAGTTACTACCCTAGTAAACTCTATGGTTCAGTTAACTGCTTAGCATATAATTCATCACATGGAGCATTCTTCCCTAGGTAGATCATATATAATATTCAGCACAAGTTACAATATTCATTATAATGTATTCATTAGTATATAGCATCATATTTCTATCTTCATATAATGCTGCTCTAGCCTGAAAGGGATCAATTCAATACTTCTGTTGCAAAAAAGGTAATGACCACGTCGACCCTCGCAGTCTGGGTTCCAAAGGTGAGTTGCTGAAATGTGAAAGTACATGAGGGAGGCAATCGTGTCATGCCAATGAAGCTCGCCCCTACCCCGACTACTACTACTTAGGAGGACGTCCTATTGATGTGAAATTTGCCTTTCTGTGTGCCTGTAGGTTTTCAAAAGGCTCTGAAGTGCATATTATAACCTTTTGTCAAATTCCTATAGCTTGCTGTGGTTTGTTTGGCTCCATCATTGTGTCTTCCACAGTGCTACTGACTTGAAGTTTCCACCATAACACAACTTTGCTGAACATACAGCCACAGACAACCAGAAATGATTCTGAGATTTTCAACTCACAGAATGCTGCTGATCCAAATCCTGTCAATAAGGCAGCAATTGCTGATGGTGGCATCTGTGGTCTGATTTACACAATTCACAGAGCAAGGGTCAGATCAGGTACATCTGAAGATCAACTCCTGTTAAAAGAATAGCATGGATGGCTGTGCTCCAGATTTCAATTCCTTTCAATCCCAAATGAACTAACATCCAGGATCTCCCCAAACCACTAAGCGATGAGCTCTACGCATGCCCACAAATTTCCGAATAACACACCCAACTATCGTACGCGTTGTACCTCTGCGGAAAACCAACATAACAAGCTGGCTTCGACACCACTTTACCCCCATTTGGGTAACATTGGGCTACGACATGCCCATCCGCATTGGGTATGTATCCCTCCCACCGAATCCGGTTATCACCACCAGCACCCTTAGGACGGTACCAGAAGTCTATCTCTGCAACACCACATACTTTTTCCAGTTTGACCTTCCATTCGCCGTTGCTGGCCTTTCCAACGAATCCAGTCTCACTGCGCCGGTCACCATCGCAATAGCACTTCCTCTCGAAGTAGTTGGATGGGCAGGTGAAGTACCTGACAGGAACGTTCGGTCCGTCGCTGACCATTAGATGGAAGTCGGCAGTGGCACAGCAGGCCAGGACAGCTGCAATAACTATGTTTTGAATGAGTGAGGCGCGCATGGTTGCTCGTGGCGAGGACTTGATTGATGATAAATAGGTGGAGGGATTTAGTTGGGACTGCATCGGTGATCAGCTATTCCTGTGCATTTCTTGGACGCAGCTTATGTAGATGTTTCGCGGTCAGACTTACACCGCGGAATAATGGGGAGGCTAGATTCGCCGCTGAGGCGATCTGGTTCGGGGTAGAAAAGCGAGAAAGAAGAGGAGGGAAGCTGCTGCAAGATGGTGGTTTAAGGAGTCCATGGTCGGCCGACGACCGTTGATCGATCGTCTGTTCAGCCTTCTCCAGCTTCCTGGGATTGGCCTCCCCAGTCGTCTAGCGCGCGCATTGCCACGTCAGGATCAAAAGTTCCGCCCGAAAAGAGGAGATGGCCGGTCTGCATGGCCTGTACGGAGTACTACGGACTAAAATACGAGCCTGTGCATTCCCGTGCATCCCCCATACGGAGTACTCCGTAGCGGAGTAGTCATCCAGAACACTTGGCGCCAAATGACGTCAGGTCACCTGATCTTGTGTTGTGGTCGCGTTCTGCTGCCTGGAGACAAAACATCCTGGGGCGTGGAGGTCGGTTTTGGAGGTCAGGCTGAGGGCATTCTCGGCTTATTTATATGGAAGGAGGCTTATATTTTGGAGTATGTCCAAGGAAGAAAGTGGTTAGTGGAGCTAGCGATTCACTCTGTAACTGCCATATCTGGCAATGGACCGATTGAACAACGTTGGGGGAGAGACTGAGAGGGAGCTCGATGAGAAGTTCGCTGATGAGATACCATTGCCTGTAGACAACGGCTAATTTGTGTATTAGATATCCCAACCGTCCCCGCAATAAACACTCGACATTACCTTTCCATGACCTTTTCCTTACGCTTTTCAATCCTCTAAATGGAAACAAGAAGAGACCAACAGGACCTGCCGCCGCTCGCAAGAAGTTGGGACCACATGGAGGACAACAGACCCTTTCCCCGCAGGAATTACGGCGAGATATTATTCAACGTTTCATTTCACGATGGAGAAAGGAAGTAGGGAACGATATCTATCCTGCGTTTCGATTGATCATACCTGAGAAAGATCGAGATCGTGCGATGTATGGCTTGAAAGAGAAGACAATTGGAAAACTGCTGGTTAAAATTATGAAAATTGATAAAAACTCCGAAGATGGATTTAACCTTTTGAACTGGAAGCTTCCAGGCCAAAGCATGGCGAGTCGAATGGCTGGCGATTTTGCTGGTCGCTGCTACGAAGTGATATCAAAGCGACCTATAAGAACGGATGTTGGCAACATGACCATCCAGGAGGTCAATGACAAACTGGATGTTCTAGCTGCTACCAGTAAGGAAGATGAGCAGATACCTGTTCTTGAAGAGTTCTACAGAAACATGAACCCTGAAGAACTGATGTGGCTCATAAGAATCATTTTGCGTCAAATGAAAGTTGGAGCCACTGAGCGGACGTTCTTCGAGATATGGCATCCAGATGCAGAGAGCCTGTTTAGCATATCCAGCAGCCTTCGCCGAGTTTGTTGGGAATTATATGACCCGAATGTCCGCCTGGAGGCCGATGAAGCACGGGTGACGCTCATGCAATGCTTTCAACCTCAATTGGCGCAGTTTCAAATGCATTCATTTCCAAAGATGATCGAGAGGATGCGGCTCTCCCCCGACGATCCAACGTTCTGGATCGAAGAGAAGCTAGATGGTGAGCGAATCCAGCTTCATATGATGTCCGACGACTCCATTCCTGGAGGTAAAAGATTTGGATTCTGGTCACGTAAAGCAAAGGATTATACATATTTGTATGGGAACGGATTCTACGATGAGAATGGAGCATTGACGCGACATCTTAAAGATGCTTTTGCAGATGGTGTTGATAACATTATTCTCGATGGAGAAATGATTACCTGGGACCCAGAACAAGACGCACCATTGCCCTTTGGCACGCTCAAAACAGCAGCTTTATCAGAGCAGAGGAACCCATTCTCGGCTACTGGCCAAAGGCCCTTATTTCGGATTTTCGATATCTTGTACCTCAATGATAAAGCCTTAACCAGATACACATTACGGGATAGAAGACGAGCCCTTGAAGCCAGTATCAAACCAGTCCATCGTCGTTTGGAAGTTCATACCTACGAAATCGGTAATTCTGCTGCAGATATTGAGCCTCAGCTCCGGAAGGTGGTGGCAGAGGCATCTGAAGGGCTTGTTCTTAAGAATCCAAATTCACCTTATCGTCTGAATGACCGCCACGACGATTGGATGAAAGTGAAACCTGAATATATGACGGAGTTTGGTGAATCCCTTGATTGCGTTGTGATCGGTGGATACTATGGCTCAGGTAAACGGGGCGGTGGATTAGCAAGTTTTCTGTGTGGACTGAGGGTTGACGAAGCCCAAGTTCGACAGGGGGCTAGCCCGATGAAATGCTACTCATTTCTTAAAGTTGGAGGAGGATTCACGGCTCCAGACTATGCGAATATTCGCCACCATACCGACGGCAAATGGAAAGATTGGAATCCCAAGAAGCCGCCAACTGAGTTTATTGAATTGGCTGGTGGTGATGCACAGTACGAACGCCCTGACGTATGGATTCGACCCGATGAGTCTGTTGTTCTGTGTGTCAAAGCAGCCTCTGTGACTCCTAGTGACCAGTTTCGATTGGGGTTGACAGTTCGCTTTCCGCGATTCAAGCGGTTACGAATGGATAAGGATTGGAAAAGCGCCCTGTCCATTCAAGAATTCATGGACTTAAAGGCGAATGCAGAAAGAGAGCAGAAAGAAAAGGAATTCAAGATCGATAACTCCCGAAGAAAACGGGCGAAGAGGGCTGTCAAGAAACCGCTTACAATTGCTGGATACGATGAAAGCAAAAGGGCCGGTTTTACAGGTCCATCAGGGCATGTTTTTGAAGGAATGAATTTTTGTGAGTACCTATCGCATTTTACAACGCATGACTCATCCTAATCAGCCCTCGCAGTCGTTATTACGGATTCAGTTGAGCCGGAGAAGAAGTCCAAACTTGAGCTGGAACAATTGATCAAAGCAAATGGCGGGAAAATATATCAAACCCATACGGCAGCACCGAATACTCTTTGTATTGCAGAGAGAAGTATGTTCCCGCAGCCCAGAAGACTTACGAAGACGATGCTGACAAAGGCTGTAGGAACTGTTAAGGTTGCATCTGTGCAAAAAGTAGCAAAAGAAAGTATCATTCGTCCGTCTTGGCTGTTTGACTGCATTAAGCAGAATGAAGTCGACAAAGGGCTACCGGATTTGTTGATCCCCTTCGAACCGAGGTTTGTCTATGACTGTTGTGGACTTCGCACAGCTTCCTAACTTGTATCTCTCTGCAGACATATGTATTTTACGGTGAAAAGCCAAGAAGAAGAGATAGCCCGACATGTGGACGAATATTCAGATAGCTACGCGCGAGATATTACCCCAAATGAGCTAAGCAAGGTAAAGCAGCAATTTTCAGGAGCAATAGTAGAATCTAACATTTTAACAGCTTCTTGTTTCGATGCCCCTAATCCCTAATCTCCCACCACCCCACATTTCAAAAACGGAAACCCAGATACAAGAACGAGAAAGCACCTTCCAGGAGCTGCGAGGCTGGCTATTCAAAAATCAAGTGCTACATTTTGTCAAACGTCGATCGGATTCCATGCTGTCGCTCCCTCTACGTCTTGCGTCTAATCTTGCTCGATTCGCGGGTGCTTCGGTGGCAAATGAACTGGAGGACAAAAGCATCACCCATGTCGTCATTGACACGGACAGTCAACCGGCTGATGTTTCTGCTTTGCGCTCTGCGATATCGAAGCGTGTAGCTGCTGGGAGAAGAATTCCGCATCTTGTGACTATTGCCTGGATCCAAGACAGCTGGAAGGCAGAATCATTGCTAGATGAAGAGCGTACGTGTTCCCCTCGTTCTGTGCAGCCAGGCATTTTGTTTCGCTCCTTTTTTTTTTTTTTTTTTTTCCCTTTTTATTTGGCCATATAATTGATCTGTTATATGCCCCTTCTCGGTTTAACATGTCATTGCATACATAGGGTTCGCTCCGACCGCCTAGTTATGGTTGGTCAACTCCGTCAACTGGTTTTCTACGATTGGTAGTTGGATAGGGTGGTCGTATCATCCGACTACTTGTTCGTGTTGTCAAATGGAGCTTGCTTGGACAATAGAGATCTCTATTAACAGGGCTATACGTATTATAAGGATAATAATTAAAGGACAAAGGGGGCTTCGATCTAAAACAGGTGATTGCGGGAGATATATATATATATAAAACTATACTTCAATAAGCTACTCCATGGTGTTTTTGGACACTATTTCCGGGGTGGGAAGTTGACATTCTCTTTCTTTCTAAAATCCACTATCAACTGGAAGACATTGGTTTGCTTAACTACAGCAAGTGTCTCTGGTGGCCAATGGCGCTCTCTTCCGGTTCGGTGGCATAGTGGCTGAATACTTTTAATAGTCTGTACTCCGTAAGCAGGACATCGATTCTTGATGACAGAACCCCAAAAATGGTTTAGTGCGCTCGTGACATAGGCGCGGCTAGACACGGTTCCAACCTTGGTGTTTGCGGATAATCAATTTTCCGTCGCCGTAGTAGATGAGGTAGGTAACTTAGGTAACTAGCTACAGCGGGCGCGAGCAGCTGGGAATGCAGCTTTGGCCGAAATAATCTCCGTCCAGTTGACAGTCATGCGGTGGTTTCAAGAAGCGCGATATTAGCACGCATCAACTTGATTTATGGCACCCCTACTGACCAGCTGAAATGGCCGAGCCTAAACGACGTTTCAAGCTGATCCTTTTGACCCGCCCTTGATGATGTCTCGATGATGCAGCCTTGCGGTCACTTCGTTCTCCTTGTTCGCATCATCCGTTTCGCAAACCATGAATGCACATTCCCGCCAGGGTCTTTCTTACCCTATCCGAAACCTGAGCGACCGGCACCTTCACGATGATACTGTTGCTCGATGGATGCCATATCTGTCAGCGATAGCATACGCTTTCGTATCCTCTGTCTTCGTCTACTCCTTACTTGTATATCTTAATATTTTACCGTCGTTTAACTTATCCAGACTAGCTTGGAAACTCATAGTTATGCTTTCTCCGGGTCCTATTGTCTTCGCCCTCGATAAAAATCCGAACGAAGGAGGTGTTTCGAAGGATAACAACCTAGCGCGTGATATCCCAATGAAGGAACAGGCGTTGCGGAGAATTTTGCGCTTGGATAGAACATCTTTCTTGTCTGGGCCGTCTGGGTATCCGAAAACAGGGTCGATCCATTTACGTACAACGCGCCTAGCTCCTGCAGGACTAGGAAACTTCAATAATTCATGCTACCAGAACAGCATTATTCAGGGATTAGCGTCGCTTCGTCAGCTTGATTATTTTTTAAAAAACAACCTTCAAACCCTTGGGCACGTACAACAAATGTCCACGCATGTATCTCTGAAAGAAACAATAGCGCAGCTTAATACCCTTTCAAATGCCGGGCGCAAGCTATGGCTTCCCAACGAACTCAAATCGATGAGTAGCTGGCAACAGCAAGACGCTCAAGAATACTATTCGAAGCTGGTGGAGCAGATTGATAAAGAAATAAGCGAGGCGTCAAAATCTCTGGTTACCGACGATGGCTTTAAGCTCAGCCTAACGGCGCTTCAAAGAAACCCTTGTTCTTCTCCCGATGAAAACCGCGTCTGTGAAATATTAAAACGAATCGGATTTGTGGACTTGGTCGGTCCTTTCGATAACCCTCTAGAAGGGCTCATGGCGCAGCGCGTCGGGTGCATGACGTGTGGCTATTGTGAAGGGCTTTCTCTAATCCCATTCACCTGTCTCACGGTTCCACTTGCCCAACATATTGAGTACGATGTAAGAGACTGTTTAGATGACTATACCGCGCTAGAGCCAATTGAGGGGGTAGAATGCATTAAATGCACGGTTCTACGCGTCAAAGCGGGTCTGCTCGAATTCCTCGACAAGTTAAGGTCTAATGATTGGTCACAACTTGAGCCAAGTGATAAAGCGCAGAAGGAGGCTCTGAGCCAAATGACAGAATCCAGGTTAAATGCAGTCCAGGATGTCCTGCAAAATGAAGATTTCTCGGAGAAGGCTCTCTCAGAACATTGCCGCCTCAACCCGAGGAATCGTGTCTCTTCGACAAAGTCGAGGCAATCGGTCATTGCAAGGGCACCAAAATCGCTCGCTATTCATATCAATCGCAGTGTGTTCGACGAGTTAACCGGGGTTCTCAGAAAGAATTACGCCAAAGTTATCTTCCCAGACATTCTAGACCTAGACGAATGGTGCTTAGGCAGTAAGCAAATCGGTACAACGGATGATACTTTAACTGAAAACTGGGAAGCGGATCCAACGAAATCCATGCTCTCTTCCCCTAGCGCAGCATTTCAGTCTCTAAACAGAAAGTACGAGCTGCGTGCTGTCATTACCCATTATGGACGGCATGATGATGGGCACTACATTTGTTATAGGAAATTTTCGACCGAGTTGCCTACAGATTTAGTCTTAGCCGACAATAGGCAGAGCAAGATGGAAGGGGGAGAAGAGCAGTGGTTTGAACTGAGCGATGCGGACGTTACCTCGGTCAGCAAAAACATTGTCATGGAACAAGGAGGCGCGTTCATGCTTTTCTACGAACTAATTGGTAATGCCTCAGAAAAGCCTATTGACGTTCCTTCTGATCCCTCTTCCCAAAATTTCACCGAAAGCTCCTGCGAAAGCCCAGTTGACGGGCCAGATTGAGAGCAGACCGGTTTTGCTCAACAATTGAAACGGCCCAGACTGCCTTTAGCATCTTCGCGTCAACCCATATAGTTGCTTGGATGCTTCACAGCACCTCATCTAGTGGCTCAATGGCATTGTCTACCCCGTCTCTCCTTCGAACCCGGCTTGTACGTCTGTCCGTGGCTATTGGACTCTCAGGAATCCTCAGTCCATTTTCTCCTAGCCATTATCTTCCTTGCAACGCCTTCGTACGCCATATTGAGCATGAGAGCTGTTACTCGATTGTCGCCCTAACAATCGTTCCCACCAGCACCATTTTCCTTAATGGATAATGCGCAAGGTGCCTCTGTAGCTGCAATGTTTAGCGATATAGATAGAGTTTTTAGAAAGCTCACTGCTTCTTCTCACGATTGTTCTCTTCAAGAATCACCGCAATATGCAACTGGATAGGCAATATGGACATCGGTCCTCGTTGGACCGTCAGGTAGAAGCTAGTAGGAGGTTAGAAAAAGGACGTGTGAGTCAGCCCGGCTTGCTCGTTGACTTCTACATCAATGATTAAAGGAAGTTTTTTTCTGTCGCAATTCATCGAGCTGCTGTGACTCCATCAGCTTGATGCAAGAGTTATCAAAACAAACAGTCATATGTATATAAACAAGTCGATGACGTATTGTATTGGGGATATTATGGCGGACGAGGTATAAGGTGCCGTAAGCTTACTTTACAACTCTTGTTTACTCTTTGGACACTGCTGGATTTGTTAGGAAGTACCGCAACCTTAAGTTAACTCCCGTGTCAACCGCACATGGCCATGGCCGCGAAACCCAGCGAGAACTTGGAAGCAAGGTTCGGCAGAGCACGCAGTCATTCAAGCTAAACCACTTTCTCCGTACCAGAAAGAAGGAAAGCATGCATGTGGGAATCGAGTCATGTAGCTATCGCCAATCCTCTATGAGTAAACAGTGATGTGAATGTGACGGATTGAATCGATCCACGGCAGCTTAATGGGTTCGCTGTCAATCGAAATAAGCTTTCTACCTTGACGGAACCTTAACCTTAATCTAAAGCTAATATCAACTTCTGAGTCCCCAATTGCCAAGGAGTCCTCAAGATTGACACCGAGAAACTATTCTCAGACCATGCACTGGGGTATGGAAGAGCCCTATTTGAGAGATGTTGCAGGCCAAATACACAATAGATATCATTTAGAGGTGCTGTATGTTGTCAATCAAAATGTTATTTTCTTTTTCCCCAAAGCAAGGGGCAAGGGCATGGAAACACGTGAGGAGTTGTGACCATCTCCCAGCCATCAGCAAACAGGGTTTCTGGAACCACAAAGCCAAACAACAAAAGTTACAGTATTAATGTTTACTGAATCTATCAATGCTTTTAGGAGCCTACTACAGTCATAAATGCCTTCGGAGTCATAGCCAGTACTGCTTAACAGTGGAACGCCTTTGAGTTGGGATCCGTTCTCAATTGAAGACTATGCATTTCCCTCATTTTGAATTGGTGACGAGCATTCGTACCATGGCATAGCGCTGATTGCTCTGTTGTTTAGGAAAATAACTTCCTAATTGAGATCTCTGACTTCTGCCGCTATGTTTACTTCTAGCTAGAGCTTCTTAAGTTCTGTGCGATGAGCGTTTAATCCAGAGATATTCTATATGAGATAGGCCTTCGGCTGAAGGAAGAAAAGAATCGGAAAAGCAATACTTGCCCGTGTGTCCCCAGTATGCGTTTTTTTAATCGATAAACGGCCCGTAGGTGAGTAACAAGTTTATCGCTTCCCTGCTAGCTGCACCGCCGGCGGTGTGCAATGGCCGTCTCATGAGTTGAGCGAAGAGATCCATGGAAGCGGAGCCCATAACAATCTCTCTGAAAGTTACTCCCAGTTAACTCCCCCGTAGTCGACATGTCGGTTCCATGGCAAAGTTTTGACTCCAAATCTAGAGGACTCATATTCCTGTTCAAGATGGGCCGTTTTGATGTGATGCGATACTTCTGGCGAAATGAAAAGACTCATAGCCATCCATATTGCTCATTGAGAGTCAGAACTTTTTATATGACTCGAGTTCGAAAAAATATAAATAGCCCGCTTGGTCGGCATTTCGAATCTTTCCTCCCTCGCTCTGTTCTGAGTCCCAAAAAGAAAAGAAAAACATTCAGTGCATATCATCCATTCTCAAGGAATAGTTGGTTAATACCTCTTGCACATATCTTTCATCCTCGGCAAGCCTCCTCTTTACGATGCAGAACACTCAGTCCGACTTTTTGCCAGAGAGTTTCACTGGATTGCTGGAGAACGACATCAACGCCAACATCACTGCTCTGGACATGCCATCGGCTCCTGATGGCTACTACTCAGTCAGCCAATTTCCTAACGGCCCTGGCTCATTCATGTCTGACACTCAAATGGATCCATCGATCTCGAGAATGCCATGGTATGTATAAACCGCCCAAGTTATGGAGAATGACCCCGTTCTCCTAAGCAGACTTTGTTTATCAACCCAATAACTAACGGAGATTGCAGTGGAGGGGAAATGGGCGCAGCTCAACTTACCCTCAATCACCAAAATCCCGCAATGAATTCACAAATGGAGAATCCTCATGAGGACCTGGACACTTTTCTTGACTTGCCCGCGATTCCCGACTTGCCTTGGTCCGACAACTTCCTCTTCGACGACAATTCGGGTTCGGCTCCCGCAACTCAAATAGAGGGAAGAGAGGAAAATCCTGAAAGTCCTAGCGAGGGCCAAAGTGCGCCTTCGAGCCCACCCTGCGAATCCAGCGGGCCGAGCCAGCCAGTCCCAAAGCGCTCCTTGCCGAAAGACGACGAGGATGCAAAAGCTCACGAGCGTCGGATCAAGAACCGACATTCGGCGAAGAAGACTCGAGAGAAAAAGAAAGATGAACTCGCAGCAATGACTGCTAAAATGGCGAGAATGGAACAGAAACTTCGACGCCATGAATTCTTCCACAAATCGATCCATTCAGTGTGCGATGCATATGGTGGAAGTTGCCCGGGCAATTGCCAGCTATCTCAATGCATCAAGCAACTTTTCGCCCGTGAGGGAATTAAAAATCTTCAGCATTTGGTACGTGAACTAGAGAACAACCAATAAAAAGAATAAAAAATGGGAAGAAGGGGGCGAAGGTGGTGGTTGTACTGTGCTGTTACTAAAGAAGAATGTTGTCTGTCAGCTTGTGGATGTCTAGACTGTCTTGAGCTTGCTTGCTCTTTTCTTTGGAACATGTTGAAAAGATTTTGTTCTTGTTTCCCTATATTCTTATCAGTGTATTTGTATCCTGTCTATTTTTCTTTTCCTTTTTCTGTTCTCTCATACACCAAAAAAAAAAAAATAAAAAAAAAATAAAGAGACCAGGAGTAGGAGGGAGGGATTTAATTTTCCTAATAATGCTGTGCATGCAGAAGCAAGTTCAAGTCTGTATCATAGATTGCTTCTATTCTGTATTATTAGCCACATTTTGCAATGAAATGTTTAATTATGCTTCAACTCATGCAACACAGCAGAATGCAATAATCAAAGGAGGAAATGGACTTAGCGCTGTGAAAGTTACCATGCAAAAGCTACGAGACTCTCAGAGGATAAACTCCATACTCTACGGTGTACACGGAAACTTGACAGGCCTTGTCACCTTGCTAGATATGGAGTGTAAGAGTCCCCATAGTTGAATACCCTCGACTATGACTATAGCTACCTCACTATGAGATCGCTCTTCTCTGGGCCACTGCAATAGTCCACAGCATATCGGGTTCTTGTACTCCGTAGGTAAAACTAGAAACACGACGTTGCAGGACAAAAGGTCGGCTGGTATGACCGCCGGGTTTTGTCTGCAGCTTAGTTAATCCATCAATGCAGGGGCTCCTATTGGCTGATACGCCGACATCGTCTCGTTTCGTTGCCGCCCCATGTCTGGTTGCCTCGTGGGGTCGATCGCCCCAAGATTCACCGCGGATCAACGAGCGAAGGGTTGAGACTCGCGCAGCGCTGATTTGATTCAAGACAATTCCAGCCTCCTCCCGAGCCCTATTGCGCTTCCTGCCATCCCGTTATTGAAATTGTGACGGCTTCTCGGGTCGTGCGCAGATTTCGTCCCATCGTCGTCCTAATCATCTCGACTTCCAACGGCCGGGAACAACCCTGTCCTGACGCTCCGTGCGGATCGTTCATGGCTGGCGTCTTCCTTCTTGGTCGTGGCTAGGCTTTGCAAACTCATCGATTCGTTTGCTGCTAGCTGGAAAGTGCGCGCTCATAGAGTCTCCCGAGACCAATACGAATACTCGAGATTACCTCGTTAGACCTCCAGCCATCGTTCATGCTGTGTTCACCCTCGTCGAGCGGCTTCCTCTCCGGCCAAGACGACCCTTACGACATATTTTACGCCGATACTACGTGTTGAAACGGAATGCGTCAGCCCACCAAGTGGGAATGACCCATCGGCCGATATACTGGTCAAGGCTCCGCATCGAAGATTTTTTAAACCGAGTGCAATTCTTACAATAATGGCTGATAGTGAGGCCGCGGCAGATGTTGAGCGGACGGCGGTGGCTAAACAAAGGGTTCGTCAATCCGGGAAACAGAGATCGAAACTCAAAAATCAAGACAAGACACCTGCAGCTAAGAGAAGATGCGTCTCAACTGCATGCATTGCGTGCAGGAAACGGAAGTCAAAGGTATGCTTGCTGCAAATCCATTTAGACTATACATGCGCTAATAGAAATTACCTGCAAGTGCGATGGAAACACTCCTAGCTGCGCTGCGTGTTCCTCCGTTTACCATACGCCATGTAAGCACACCAATTTGTTTGTCTTTCCTGTGGCTAAGATATGATTGGTAGGCATATACGATCCAAACTCGGATCATAGACGCAAAGGTGTTTATAAGCAAGACATTGATAACTTGAAGAACCGGAACACAACACTTCAAACTTTGGTCGAAGCAATCCTCAACTACGATGAAGATGATGTTTTGGACCTCGTGCGCCAGATGCGGTCCAGCGATGACCTGGAGGCAGTGGCGGAATCTATCCTAACACGGCAATCTAAGAAGGATGGTTCAAAATCGGAACTCCCTTCTCGGAGCGATGAGGACATTGCTGCCTTTGGCGTACCGCAGTTTGAGTCCGAATTGGCTGGAAGGATAAGCGAGCTCAAGCTCGATGGCACGGTGAAGTACGTTGGCGGGACTTCGAACTTGATATTTCTACCTGCCAGTTCCGATTCCGATGACTCGGATCCGTGCCTACCCGGCTTAAGTAGTGCTGAGCCTCTGGATGACTCGATTAGATGCTGGACTACGGTCACAAAAAGCAAGGAATTGATTCGTCACCTGCTCACGATGTACTTTACATGGCACTATCCCTACTTCACGACTTTGTCAAAGAGGTTGTTTTATCGCGATTTTGTACGAGGCCGACCAAGTGAATACTGCTCTGCTCTACTCGTCAATGCCATGCTTGCTCTTGGCTGCCACTTCAGCTCCTGGCCTGCCACTCGCGAAGATCCCAATGATTCTGCAACCGCTGGAGATCACTTTTTCCGTGAGGCGAAGAGGTTGATCCTGGAACACGATGAGCATGAGAAGGCTAGACTCTGCAACGTGCAGGCTTTTGCAATAATGTCAGTCCGAGAGGCTGGCTGCGGCAGGGAGGGCTCTGGTTGGGTGTATAGCGGCATGAGTTTTCGTATGGCTTATGATTTGGGGCTAAATGTGGACGCGACGGGCATTGGTTCTAATCGGTTAAACGACCAAGATATAGACGCACGTCGCATCACCTTTTGGGGGTGTTATTTGTTTGATAAGTTAGTAGATTCACCGCTTAACTTGGATTGTTGTCTAACACATTTGCAGGTGCTGGTCAAACTATCTAGGTCGACAGCCACAGCTATCCGGCGCGCAAATTACAGTCCCCAAAGTTGATGTTTTTCCTGATGAAGATTCAGAGATGTGGTCACCTTACACAGATGTTGGAGTTTCGCAAGAGCATGTGCAACCTGCTCGGACAAGGGCGGTTGCACTGCAAATTTCCAAACTCTGTGAAATTAGCAGTGATTTATTGTCAAGCTTTTATAATCCTATCCCTGTGAACAGACATATGGGAAAGCAAGAAGAGCTCAGACGACTAAGTCAGCTACACACCAGACTTGAAGCATGGAGAAAAGATCTGCCGAAAGAGATGGAACCAAAGGATGGGCAATTGCCCCAAGTTTTACTTATGCAGTAAGCCAAAACTTAAAAGTGCTAACAACCGAACTATTAGTCGCTTGCTAACCCATATTAGCATGTTTTTCCAATTACTTTTTATCCATCTCTACAGACCGTTCCTCAAGTATACCAAAGCAACATCTCCCCTCCCGCAGCACGTTTCTCCAAGGAAACTCTGCACACAAAGTGCTTCCATGATTTCGAAGCTGCTTCGAATCTATAAACGAAGTTACAATTTGCGCCAAATATGCAATGTCGCTGTATATATTGTCCATTCGGCATGTACGATCCATCTTCTTAACCTTCCCGATAAGGCGTCACGGAGAGATATTGTATACGGTCTCAAAAACCTGGAGGAAATGGCAGAGAGCTGGCTATGTGCCCGCAGGACTCTTCGGATTCTAGATTTATCTGCACAGAAGTGGCATATCGCTCTCCCCGCTGAAGCCACTGCCATCCTAGAGCGGTCTCACGCGAAATTTGGCTCTTGGGCTTCCTGGGATCAAGTGCACTCTTCATCCACTTCTGATGAGTCAACTAAAATGCCCAGCCAGGAGGCCCCATCGATCCCTTCAACCCGTGGATCAAGTCCTGATGAAAATTTGAAATCTGTTCAAGCTCATCCTCAACCAGCAGGAACTCCGTTGCAAGTGATGCCTCAGTTCGCCCAGGCTTTCCGTCCCGTTTCCCAGAAGTCGGCAATACATCCATCGCAATCCGTTAAAGACTTTCAATGTAACCCATCACTCCCAGAACCGCCTCCAAAGCCTTCCTGTTATACAGATGTGGATATTCAGCCAAAGTTGGAGGATTCTGGATCTCCGCCAATTTTAACAGTGACTGATACTTCCTCCACAAGTTTGGAAGCACCTCAAATCCCAGCCTTTGCCGAGATTGACAATCTTGTGGAGGAGAGTCAGGATTGGTGGTTCAAAGACCAGAACGCTTTAGCCCTTGGGCTAGACAACTGGGACTGGGGTAGCCCAGATGGAGCCTGTGGAGATATTGACGTCGAACGGACGATGCCGCCAACAAGCACGCCGACACCATCTTTTGGAGAGAGTCCTCACTTGATACCTGGTCAGGTTACCGGAGTGATCAGCCCCAATATAGGAGTGCATAATGCTCCCCATGCCTACAGCGGTGGCTATTATGTCCCTGAGTCCACACCTGACAGCATCAATGTTACACAGCCTTTTACAGGGCCGCCATCTGAACCTGGGATTCACACCCCCAACCAAATGTACTATTAACAATACCATCGCAATCAGTCGATTGTGGCTCATGACTTATGAATTGTCATCTCATTGTAATCTGGTGCGGGATTTTTTTTTTTGTTGATTTTTGATATTCTGTTCATTTGTGATTCTATAGATGGTTCTATGTGAGAAGCCTTGCTTGCAGAAAGCATTTGCCTCACATACCCTCAACATTTCTCCTTTTGGCTCTATCTTTTGGGAATTGGGGGGGTTGTACATCAAATTGGCACTGGTATGTTTTCTTTTCGCCCTCTTTTTTTTTTTTTTTTTTTTTTTTTTAAAAAAAAAAAAATTTCGGGCTAAACAGGATTTATGGATATCTTCTTTCTTTATGTGCAAACTTTCTCTGTGGAAAGTTCGGCTTTTGGATTCCGCTTTGGGAACCTGATATCGATTCTTGGATGTACATAGTTGATTTAGAGTGTATATATTTTAATAATTTTCTTGTATTTCAGCTGCTTTGGGCAATTTAAATCAGGACATTTTGCCTCCCAGGTTTATAAACATATACATTGCATGTGGTGAAGGAAATAAGCCAAAAGCAAGCATGGAACAGGGCGTTGGTATCACTGTTGATTGGTTTCTTGTTAGCATCTAGCAGCAAACACTCAAGAAACATTGAAAGAGTGGAACCCACCAAAAAGTAATCTGCAACGGGTTTCTTTGCTGGCATTCCTCTGGTATCCTGAGGTGCAGCATCGAATACTCTGTATCTCCTCCCTGGTCCGACGATACTTCGCCTCTCACCACGTCCACCTCGGATGCCGCCCAGACTCCGACCATAGTCACCATTACTTCTCGAGATGGTGCCTCCACCACTCGCATCCTCACCTAATTCTAATATCGCGGCAACATTGCCACACCTGTAGCAGTAATTTGGTGCTGACCAAACTGTCACAATACCACCATCGAACATCTCCTTGAAGCCTTCCATGACGAGTTGATGTGCGCGAGCAATCAAAGAGAGATCGTTCTTATAGCTAAAATGCTTCACGATGTCTGCACCGAAGAGGAAGCCTGCACCTCTGGGACTTAAACCCCACCCTTCTATCTCATCAGGGTCAGACCAGAGTAAATCGCACATGGCACCTTCGTGGGGCACTTCTTGCTTTCGATCGATGAGACGGATCTTATCCACGCTGTCGACAAGCGGTGAAAGCCCACCGTGAACGCAAAGAACAGCGCCCGAACTGCTTGACAGACTCCCTATGCTGTCAGAGGTCGCGCCTGTCCCCGCAGGCCCCGTTCTGGACGGCGTGTTGGTGGGAGCTGAGGATATGTCTCTGGGTGGTGAAACGTCCCGGATATCGTTCGCCAATTCCTGCGATCCACGGTCCCTCCGTCGATAGGCTGCGTATGTGACTTCGCCTTTCGAATTTAACACTTCAATCTCGAGTATCCCGTCCTCGCTGGTCGAAGACCCGGTGATGGAATGTGAAGTGCCCAAGGAATCGTGGACCATCGACGTTGATGGCCCCGTTGGTTCCAGTTCTGAACTGGCGCCCAGGACCAAAGCGCCCAAAGCTAAATAGTCAAATACCTCGCAACAATAACGCCAAACATTCGCATTACCATATTTTCGAATACATTCATCGTAGAACCCATAAACTGTCGTGATCTGTCTTGATTCATGATTACCCCGGATCAACGTGATCCTATCTGGATATCGCACTTTCAAACACAATAGCAAGAGGAAGGACTCGAGGGAGTAGAAACCGCGATCAACGAAGTCACCCATAAAGAGGTAGTTGGTATCAGGGACATCACCACCGACGCGAAACAGTTCCATCAAATCATGAAATTGGCCATGGATATCTCCACAAATCGTGACCGGAGCATCGACCGTGACGACGTTGCCCTCTTCGATGAGTAGCTCGCGGGCTTTGTAGCAGAGTTCGCGGACTTGGGGCTCGGGGATGGGGCGGCATTTGCGCAGTTGCGCGATGGCTCTGTGGTAAAGGGAGAACGGTAGTCAGCACTGTGTCGCAGCATCAATCAAAAGAACTTGCACGTACTTGTCAAGGTCACTCATTTTGTAGGGAGTGTGTTCGATGCTTACAATCAGCTCATGCGGCGCGCTCCTGGGCTGCTTCGGCACAAGCGAGTGAGGGTTTGTCTATGTTTGCAGGAGTTCTGGCTTCTTCATTTTTAAGAAACAGAAAAAAAAGAATAGTGAAGGACTGACGCTAGACTAGGATGGAGACATCGCTTGTCAGGAACAAGATACCTATGACGGTAAGTCGAGCTGCGAAGCTTCGATGGCGATAAGGACTTCACAGCCGATTTCTGGAGCGCCAAGCCATTGACGCGCTCCAACTCTGAACCCCAACCACTTTAAACTCTGCAGATCGCAGAAATCAGCACCGCTCATCCATGAAATCCGCAAGCATATTTCTTGCATTCCTTTATTCTGTAACCCCCCTTCCCCCCAAACAGCTCTTAGAAAGCAAGTTGTCCTTTAACAATGCTACTTGCTGCACTGATTTTGGGATCACGGGTCGGATAACAAAGTACAACCCTGATATGGCCGGTGGGAGCGTTGTTACTTCTCTTATCCTTCCAACGTCTTTGCATTAGCCTCGTCGTATCACTCAGAAAAATGGCTCTGTCGAATATTCCCGCAATGGAAGAAGGAGAGCTAAAATATCTGGTTTCCGGTGAATTTTAATGATAACCCAGAGAGCAAGGAATTCTCAAGGACTCCTAGTTGCTCATATGCCCTTAAAACCTCAATACTTTGGCAATGTCTACTGATATGTCCTAGATCGCAGGCACAGTGACACAAGCGGTAAAGAGCTAGTGAAAACCTCCTTCAAATTGAAAGGTCGGCGACCTGAGCTACACGGAGGACAGAAAAAGCGCCTTGAACTTGAGTACTACGACAAAGAACAGGTGGAGTCGGGCGTGGAGAAACGACTCGTGTTAAAATAGAAAATAGAAGAAAACGATGTCGAACTCGGCAGAAAACTTGCAGAGTTCCAGCAAATTTGAACCAAGATGGTGGTTTTTCGCCGTGAACTGAACACAAGGTCAGCTGTATTTCTAACTCCGTCATCGATGAAAATCGGTGGTTGTTAAAATGGCAAAAATGACCCAGAAATCGATGGACGAGTGATCCGCCTACGATGACCTTTTGATAGGCATCAGCAGCCTCTTTTTATGTTCCTAGTCATCAAATAGAAGAAACGACAAGCTTGCCCGTTGTGAGGAGATGATTCTTGTCATTCTCAAAAGCAAACACTCAAACAAGAATGCCCCATATTCCCCTAAGGGAGCTCTGGCGGTTGTGAATCGGAATTCAAGAGGACCCATGGGTATCAGTGCAACCACCAAATGTGTACATTTCTAGCTCCGAGCTATAGAGTAATTCTTTAGGTGCCTGGGCCCGCGATATAGCCTCCTCATATTGATCTCGCGGCATAAGCCGGAAGTGGTTGTGCTCGGGGGACGAATGGTGATACAAGTGGTAGATTGGAGTGCGTGAGAAGCCAAGGCCCTGCTTCTCCTTGGGGTTCTGGTCCATGCTGACTAGGAGTGTTTTATTGCATCACCAATTTACGTAGTCCGCCGAAGAACTTGATGTATTTATTGCACGAGGCACTACGGAGTACTTCGTAAACAGCTTTAGGTTGTCTGCAGAGTACTGCATACAGAGTAAGTGGATCAGGCGTTAGTGTTCTTCGCCCGGCTTGTTATCCGCTGCGAATAACTTCTGTGCGGAGTTGGCTTGGGCCCCCTGCTGAAAGGTTTGCTGTTGGCAGTCTCACTCCTTGTCAATGCGTATACTCAATGTTTTTGCGGGACGACGAAGTTGGCAATGGTGAAGTCACGTGACAATATGTTTTGCACACACCCCGATTGGCCAATTCTTTTCTGAGTTGAAGCCCGAGATCCATTCCAAAGTGCGCAAGAAATAAAAATCATCGGGATTCACTCAATTGCCCCCATGTGCAGGTCACAATGAGACAAGTTGTGTAGGTGCGTTCGAAATTTTCGGGGCTTAATTAGAGAGAGGTTGCAACTTGGCTGATATCCTTCTTTTCAGGAATAAAGCCACCGGGGACCGTTGACTGAAGTACGCAATGCGGGAGTTGATGAAAACGTACACCTAAAATACCTGTCCCAATGCCCCCGCATCTCCATCCGCGGTCGCGTTCGACCACATCGCTCTTTACAGCGACGCTCCTAGCCTCGTTCCTAATTGTCGGAATGCCGCATCTTTTCCCGTGTCCCGCGCCCCGACATACGTTAGCGGACTCCGAAATGATAACGATGCCGGACGGTCAACAGAGAATACGAAGGCGTAGAAGAAAAGAAACAGGAAAAGTACCAGAAGCACCGGGAGAATTGCTTTCCGAGCAGGCCCATGAATTGGAGGACGCTGCAGCAGAATTCCGACATATGGACGCGGAGGCAAGAAGGCTCACGAAGATGGGTAGAGAGTGCCCGGTCCCGAAGCCCAAGGGTATCGTTGGCCAAATTCTCGGCCTAGATGCACGAAGGGAAAGTGGCGGCGGAGCCGATTTTAGAAAATTAGATGCTCCGCCCAGAGGAAACGACGGATGACCAAGGCCCATTGATGCGAAGGCCGTCGACTTTTAACGGCCATCCTATGTACATTATCAATTTCCCAGTTTATACGCGGCATGAGATTGGAGTTATTGCAATATCATATTTGGGGCGTGTAACCCGACTGATCTTGGGAAGGACGTTGCACGTTTATAGTCGGATTCTTTTTATACGCTGATTTAGGACGGCACAATGTTGGACAAGGAAGATGATATCTGGTGGTTGAGCCTGTATCATCTATTGCTATCGTGGCTAGAGAGCCCCGATATATGTACTTTATAGATGCGGTTACGGCGTAGCAATCTGTGTGAACAAGGGACTAAACCACTCCATATTCCAGGACGATCCGTTCAGAAACCATACAAGGACAGCTTTCAATTACATTCTGATGATGAAATAGTCTTTCAAAGATCAGATGAAAAGTGCAGCCACTGCCAAATTATTGTATATCGGGTAACTAAGACAGAAATTATTTATCTCCACTGGTCGGTAGAGCCGGAGACAAGGGCTGCAAGGGCAGGATCGCGAACACCCATCTTTTAAGGAATTGATGGTTGCGCTAGCATCTTTAAAGGCCAACAACAATACAAAAACTAAAAATAAACAAAGCCTTATCAGCCAGATTTATCAGAATGAATGTTTAATAAATTGCCATTCTTGATACGCTTAACTAGGCGGCGTTGTCTTGACGAGCGGATTCCACCCGAATATCCTCCTGGCCGTCCGACCCTCCGGCATCAAGATGGAGCTTTGCAGGCTCTGTATTGACCTCTGCACGAACCCAAAGCATTCGAAATGGATCTGCCCATTACTTCTGCTAGCAGAAAGTGTTCTATGTTCCCTTATTGTTTGGAAAATACCGTGTAGGTCTAATCCCCCCTGTCATGGCCTACGATTACCGCAGCTCACCTGGTAATGTTTGTGACCAGACACGGAGATCGACTGGTCCACTTATATGCAACAAGTTTCGATATTTCTCTCCGGTGAACGTGATTATACGCTTATCAAAGGTTCTACGGGACCCCTCGTCTACCCTGCGGGACATGTCTACGCGTTCTCCCTTCTATATTCCGTGACAGATGAAGGACGGGACATCGCGTTTGCCCAAATTATATTCGCCGGGCTATATATTGTTGCGCTGGCTCTTGTCATGGCAACTTACTGGTCGGCCGGTGCTCCGCCGTACATATATCCACTTCTTGTGTTGTCAAAGCGCCTGCATAGTATCTTTATGCTCAGGATGTTTAATGACGGGATTGCGACGCTGCTCCTTTGGGCGACAATATACATGCTCCAGAAGCGTCGATGGTCCACTGCCGTTATGCTGTGGTCAGCAGGAGTCAGTGTTAAAATGACTCTCCTCCTAGTTGCTCCTGCGCTTGCGGTAATTCTTACTTTAGCCGTCGGGTTTCCCAGTGCATTAGGCTTAGGGATACTATCTTTGCTTGTACAGGTGCGTCAACACAAAATATCCTACTTATTCTCTGAACTAATAGATATGTATAGCTTCTCATTGCAATTCCTTTTTTGCAGAAGAGCCCTGTCGGATACTTTGCAAGAGCCTTTGAGTTCACAAGGCAGTTTCTTTTCAAATGGACCGTCAACTGGCGATTTGTTGGCGAGGAAATATTCCTTTCTAGGTCATTTTCATTGACGCTATTGGTTGTGCATCTATCTCTTTTAGCTCTTTTTCTTGGATTCTCCTGGTTACACCCATCACGGAAGTCTTTGACACAGATTGCCAGAGATATACTGCAAGGGAAAAATACACGATACACCCTCACAACCAACTTCATTACCAAAACTATGTTGACTTCGCTGGTTATAGGTTTCCTGTGCGCAAGAAGCCTGCACTACCAGTTCTTTTCGTACCTGGCATGGGCTTCGCCATTGTTGCTCTGGGAATCAGGCCTTCGACCACTTTATATTTTCGCGTTATGTCTAATACAGGAATATGCTTGGAACGTATATCCAAGCACATCCTTGAGTTCAATGGCGGTTGTGATGGCCCTTGCATCTCAAGTCTTGGCTCCCGCTTTAAACTAAGACAAAAATGCCAAATGAGAAGCTTTCTTGTTCGCAAGGGGGGCAGAAGGGAGGGCGGGCGGACGGATCGTACTCGAGATCGATCAATCCTACATAGAAGCTTGCTTATCCTCAGGGAATTCGATAAGTTTTCATCTTGCACTATCCGCCTGTCACTCTTCATCCGAGGCGTCCGATGGCGGCATTTTGCCCACATTGGAGTCTTCGTCATCGCTATCCGGTATGGGTTGTCTCACAAACTCTTTCGGCCTGCTAAAAGGATTAACATATGGCAGGTTGGCGGGGAAACATCGAAGCGCACTAACCAAAAATCCGCTTTGCGCCATGCCTTTTCGTCTCTCACAATGTTTACTATTTGCCCGGAGAGTTTGTTATCCCTCTCTTCAAGTGCATTCGTATCAACGACGACAAAGGATCCCCGTTTCATCCAAATAGTTGAGCGAAACCGAGCGGGCAACTCCACCAACATCGACTCCCTGGACGGCAGTTCCACGGAATAAAGGTTATTTCCGGTCGCGCGGATAACTCTGGCGATTCGATGGCCTTCTGGCAGAGCAGCTGGTGGTATGAGAGTCTCTTCAGCTGTAGCCAGCAGCCTCCTTCTTGGTGGCGCCATGATCCTGCTCGTGATGAAGCTGAAAGTTTGATAACAGCCAACAAGACTGGTTGTTTTGTGGGTTTGGATATCTTCTCGTGCCAAGACTAAACCTTCCCCGTGGATCGATTGATGGATCTTTTGGTTGGTTGAATGGAGCCGAGCTTGCCGCATTTGGCCTAGTGCAGATCGGTTCTACTTCTACGAGCAAACATCGGAAATGTTTCGTGCTTCAACGCCTGTTTTCCTCGCTACAACTTCATGCTTCAGCCATCTTACGAGGTATGAAGGGAATCGGCTCCAATCCTTGATATGCGAGATCTTGCATTTGCTCTACCAGGTATCAAAATCGAAGTACACGACTCAGACCACAAAAATGTAAAGTTCAAAAATCGCCGAGATTCCTTGGAGTGTGGAAAAGCATTGGGCCATAATTGAATCGCGAGCATCTCGCGGTTGATCGATAATCAGCAAGTATCGCTGTGGTTGTTGCCTCCATCATGGCAAGCCGCTCCGCAGAATTTGATAATCTTGATTTCGCCGTTCGGTCCACCAATGCATTGGAAAAGAGTATTCTGGACGTGCCGTGGGTCGGTCGGCATCTTCGCTTCGTGCAACGCTTGAGTGATTTGGGCATAATAGTTTCCTAATGCCGAAGTTAGGACAGAGATCCAGGAGTAGTATGGAAGAACATGTGTCAGTCCTCTCAACTTACCTTTCCTCAAGAGGACGTAGCCGCAGTACTGGAGACCGGTCTGGCAATTGTCCGCAGCGACAAGAGAAGCCATGGCGCCCACAACGGCGAGGGCAATTGAAGTAAATTTGACCATGGTGTCTAGTTGAGGGTTTGGCTTTCGCGACAAGAGGCTCGGGGAGTGGTTTAAACTGAGAGATTGATTTTGCTTGATTGTTGAACAAGACATACATTTGAGCGGGAGAGTGACGGGTTTATATAGACTTGGATTCTCATGTTTTCACACATGTGGATCCTTTGATTATTCTAATTGCAATAGAAAAGGCAAGCACCATAGCGAAATGGATGAGAAAGTCTGCATGGTCTGTAGTCTGCAAGCTGCTTACCAATAGTAGTGTATAACAATGTGTTGGTTCTGCTTGCTCCGTTTCCAATGCAACATGAACTTGCAACTGCTCAATAGGAGGTCAGAAGTTGAGCAACTTCATGCATTTTGAAGGATTGTGGATAAGTCGAGATGTAGATGTTTGTGTTGGTTTTCTTGTCATGTTGCTGTTGTTCCTGGGAAGAAAGTTCATGAATTTGCAATGTGGTGCATTAGTTAGTTATCTTCCCGTTTCGGACTCCGTCAACGCAAACAAGCAATCCGTACAGAGTAGTTGCAATTATATGAAGTTTCATCTTTCATTTTTTTCATTTTTCATTTTTTTCAATTTTTCAATTATTTATATATATATATATATATATACATTCATATACTGATCCTAAGCTTGATTTGGCATTTCAAGTCGGATCGCTAAAGTTGCTGATGGGATCAGGCTAGAAGATGGATCGGTGCGGATGGAGTCCCAATTTACACGCTTTCCAAGGCACAAGAAGACGAATATATCGACATATGGAGTCCTTTGCTGCAAGATAGGCCGTGGAGACCTGACAAGCCCGTCTTCAGGGGGAAATATTGGTGCAGATCATCAGGCCATATTCAGAACAAGGGATTCCACCATCGGGAGGTTATACCCTGGCTATTCCGGGTCAAAGAGGGGCTGATTTTACGAGCTGTTCGAAGTCTGCCAAAATTAGCCGGCGATTCCAGGTGGCCTGCCACGGTTGAGCATCCCTGACATGCTGCAGGATAATTCTTCGCTTTGGGGTTCAGAAATTCAATTACTCCTACCCAGATTCAACAGAACAGGATCCCCCATCTCTGGGCCTGCATCATTGTCCCGCCAGCCCATAAAAAACATGGTCCTGACTCCTCCGGATAGGGCAATTTCCCGCAAAGCTTGAGATTTTGCCGGAGACACTACTTGAAGCTATGGAGTAACCACTGACAAGTTCCTTCATTGCTTGCATCACACCTGCTCGTCAGCTTGATTAACTACCTCAGCAAGCCGCAAGGCGGGTTCATCACATACCTGACGGAGGTTTTTGCCGTCAAATACATAAATAGTCCCCAGCTAGGAGAGCCTCGGCAAGTCCTCTGTACTGGCATAAAAATGTCCTTGATGAAGACAGGCATCTGAAACTTTCCATAGTCATATGCTTGTCAGATGTCTTCGTTCGGCTCCACCTAACTACAAGGCGGTGGGCTATTGGAACATTTCGGGAGCGTTGCACCGCCTCCTACGCGATGGCAAAACGGGGCAATGAGCGGCCAGCATCGCACGCGCGGCCGAGCCAACAGGTTTGGAAACAAACCTAAACATTTTAGGTTTACTTAGCCATCCTCTGGATTCCTGTCATCCCCAAAGTACTCGACTTGACCACGGACATCGAATGAGAAAGCTGCTTCCCACTCCCTCTATCCCTCCCGCCGCTCCATGTTCCGCGTTTATGGAACATGTCCTATACTGCCGGCTCTTGTACTGAGCTCGACCAGCTACCCCCCGCCTTAAGCCCGGCGGTTGTTCAGGATCGTACGGAGGGCGGAGTGCTAGTTGCTACAAAGAATGAACCACATGGCTCGCAGTTTACGGCACATAATCGCCAACCTCTGCGGCTCGGGAATGACAATCACGATCCTGAAGGTAGAGAGTCTGTATCATTCGCCGAAAATGAAGCCCCAAGCGTCGCTCAAAGCTTTGCTTTCCCGCCGAAAACTACATGTCGAATGCTTAGCTGTTGTTTGATGACTTTGGAGGCGGCTTAAATGACAGTGCTCCCGGTGCATTAATCCCCTACATCGAAAAAGAGTATGGCATTGGCTATGCGGTCGTGTCTCTCATATTTGTGACCAACGCCTTGGGATTCATCCTCGCTGCACCCTGTACCCATGTCCTTGAAGCCCGTCTCGGCCGCGCTTGGACATATTCGCTGTCTTTATTAATGGTCGCCATTGCACATGCAGCAATAATTGCCAAACCGCCGTTCGCTGTGGTCGTTTCATGCTTTTTCTTCATTGGATTCGGGCTTGCGGTTAGCCTGGCACTCAACAACGTTTTCTGTGCCAACCTAGTGAACAACACGGCTGCACTTGGGGGTCTCCACGGCGCTTATGGCGTCGGTGGTACGATTTCGCCGCTAATCGCAACTGCAATTTCGGCGAGCGGCATCCCCTGGAGCATCTTCTACGTTATCCCGCTTGCCGTTGGGCTTATCAATATCGTATTCTCGGTTTGGTCTTTCCGAGACTATGAGAAAGACCTATCCGTCCACCAGCCCCCTACTGCCCGACAAGTATCTCCTCAACATTCTGCTCAGAGCACAGGAGCCCATAGAGACCATGCTCTTAAGAAAGCCATCAAGAATAGGGTCACGCTACTGGGAGCGTTGTTCATATTTGCGTACCAAGGTGCCGAAGTTTCCATTTCTGGATGGGCCGTGTCTTTTCTTGTTGCTTATCGCGGGGGGGAAATTGCCAAGGTCGGATATATTAGCACTGGCTTTTGGGCTGGCATTTCCCTAGGCCGGTTCCTTCTGTCTCATCCTGCTCAGAAACTTGGGAGAAAGGTCTCTACGGCCGGCCTCATAGCGGGTTCAGCGTTTCTTCAACTGCTCGTCTGGCTAGTTCCTAACATCGTTGGTGATGCCATTGCGCTCGCCATTGTCGGTCTTCTGCTTGGTCCCATATATCCGTGTGCCACAGCTGTTTTCGCGACATTGCTTCCACGTGGAATCCAGCTTTCGAGTCTAGGATTCGTTAGCGCCATGGGTAGCAGTGGTGGCGCAGTAGCGCCGTTTTTCACCGGTCTTCTCGCACAGAATCTTGGTACAGTAGTGCTACACCCGATATGCATAATGCTGTATGCTGTGATGCTTGTTTCTTGGGTTTTCCTTCCAAAGATTCGAAAAGAGGACTGAATGACCAAACAGTTCGCATCCTTAAGGAACCAACACAACTTCCTAGCCTCAGGACATAAACTATTGATCAGTAATTCTCCCCAAAGGTGGGAGCAATAATGCCCCGTCCACCAACGTCTCTATCCTTTCCACTTTATACACACATATTCATTGCGCAGATAACATGAAACTAGGTTGAACGTACAGAGTACAGATGTGCTAGTTTATATATATCTTTGATATAATTAGCCTTTTTTAGGCCTAGGGCACCATATGTTTTACAGGTCATCCCGCCGTACCGACGCCCGGTTGAGAGGGATTCTTTTCTATATATTGTTGAGGTGCTCAGCTTTCAGCCTGATCCTAAGAAAGGTTGGGGCGTCGAGCAAAGGGGGCAAAAGGGCTCTGGGAGGAGTCAGCTACATTCAACGGCTACCTTCACCATGCCAACCGAATGAGGAATAATGTCACTCCGCAGCAATCCCTTTGCTGGTAAGTTCTAGCTATGTAAACTCTCCAGCCATCTTAATTTGGACTGCCCGTCTTGAACCCCTCCCCTGGAACGGCTGTACTCCATGCAACAACAATCATTTTGTGGCGTCGGCCAGATGGAGGAAGTAGTCAACCAAAGTCCATAATCCCGTGGGACCAAACACACGCTGAGAAAACATTGTCACATCTCCGAGTTGGCCATTTCCGGAAACTGGATCATCCGTTATACATAATCCCCATTAGAAGCCACACTCGTGTCTCCTGAGGAGCAACGATTAAGGCGAATCTCTATCTCCCGTGGTTCCGTAGAACCTAATGTAACCAGCCCCCGAAGCCAGGAAATACCGTCAGGTGATTGGGTCGGAGTGGACAATTAAGGCCGTAAAGGTTCAAGCACGGAGGACTCACCATCTGCGATGAGAATGAATAGGGCGAAATTATTGCAACTTGTCGACACAACTGCAGCCGACAGCTTTTTCATCGATGTCAAACCTGGGCTGCAAGAGTCAAGTTCAGGCCAAGATTTGGATTGGCGGGTGTGCGAGAAATTTATCCCCACCATCGCAAGCGGCTCTTTTAGTTCGTTCCCCTCCCTGACCGTATGGATTACACCATCCGTCGAATCGCAACTAAACCATCTGCCTCGAAACCCTAGATCTAGGATAAACTGGGAATACCACACGCAGCTCAATCCACAGTTGTATATTTTGCTAATTTCGATATTTTGCGTAACTGGGGTTTCATTCGTCTTCCGGTCGTGGGCAACTGGGCCCTTGCTCTGCCTCACGAGTGCGATCAGAGGTATGTTCACAGTGGTGATGCACAGCATTCGCTGGCGCCTCTCTACAGTTTTATCTCCTTCAATCACTGCGTTGATCATGTAAACGCTGCCTCATATCTTTTGTCCATGCCCTGTTGTGGTTCCGCCGAGCAAAGGGGTGACCGGAATCTTCTACGGGGCCATTCACGCAAGCTTAGCCCTATCTCTTCCCACGAACACAACAAAACCAATTTAAACATCTCTGCTAATTTTCACTTCGTCAAAGCGCCAACCAACTGATTAGTCTCAACCAAAGAGCGGCCTCTGCAAAGGCGCAACCGCAAAGATGGATGGCGACGACGAGCTCATGGCCAAAGTCTACCGCAAGATCGAGCGGGAGAAGGCCCTTATCAATGCCGCTACAAACATGCGCCAGTCGACCGATAATCCTCTCGTGCAGCAACGAGTCGATGCGAATATCCGTGATGGCAGGAAGAATATCGCATATTTAGAGGAGAAGATGCGGGAATTGCAACTGCGAAAGATGGGTCGTGAAGCCGGTCAACAGCCTGGCTCGCCAACTCAGCAACGGCATTCCGGGGGAGCGCCACCGCCTCCTCCAAAGGATGGCGGACATTATTCTTCTGATATCGGTTACGCTCAGGAAGGTTCAGGTTCGATGCCATCTCAAGCCCCCTTCCATGACCCTAGACCAGGAGGCCCAATCCCGAAGGCTAGACCAAACTTTAGCAAGCTAGGTAGGCCATACAGCCAAATCTTCATATTGCATGAAACGTCGGTCAGGCTAATGATTTCTCAGACTTAATCAAATACGACACTCCTTACCTTGGTCCCAAAATCCAACTCATGTTATCCCAATTAGAATTCAAGCTGAGCGTCGAGAAACAGTATAAAGCTGGTATAGAAAAGATGGTTCGCTTATATCAAGATGAAGGTGACAGAAAAAGCCGAGCTGATGCTGAGGGAAGACGTGTTGAGAGCAATCAGAAAATCCAGCTTCTAAAGCAAGCTCTGAAGCGATATGAAGACCTGCATGTGGATATTGAAAGTGCAGACCATCCCGATGGTACGTAGCTAGTATGTGCGATTTCCATTCGTGTGCTGACCACCCCTTCCCCTACCGCAGATGAAAGTTTGAGCTCCCCAAACATTCGTAAACCGCTTACGGGCCATTTGACCATGCGCATCCACGCAGTGAGGGATGTAGATCATGCTGCTGGCTCGCGATTCTCCAGGGGACCTGAAACATTCGTCATCATGAAAGTCGAAGATGCAATCAAAGCGAAGACGAAGGCTACGCGCAACGACAAGTGGGCAGAAGAGACCTTCAATGTTGACATTGACAAGGCCAACGAGATAGAACTCACTGTATATGATAAAAGTGGAGATCGCCCTACCCCTATCGGCATGCTCTGGATTCGACTCTCCGATATTGCCGAAGAAATGCGTCGTAAGAAAATCGAAACCGAGTTTAATACGTCAGGATGGGTTTCGGCAGATAAGATGGAACATGGAGCTGCAAGAACTGAATCTCATTTCCAAGTCAACGCTCCTCAACACCCCCAACATGACCAGGCTAGCCAACCTGGACCAGGCGCCACAGTGATGATTGACTCTTGGTTCGCCTTGGAGCCAGTCGGTAGGATCCATCTTACGATGAGCTTTGGTGAGTAAATCGCTATGTAAACATCTTTGCTATAAATTTGGTGTTAACACGTCTGTAGCCAAGCAATTGAAGGATCGCAGACCTTTCGATATTGGTCTTAACCGACAAGGAGCCGTTCGCCAGAAGAAGGAAGAAGTTCACGAAAAACAAGGGCACAAATTCGTTACACAGCAGTTTTATAACATTATGCGTTGTGCGCTTTGCGGTGATTTCTTGAAGTACGCCGCTGGTATGCAGTGCTCAGATTGCAAATACACTTGTCATAAGAAATGCTACCCCAAGGTGGTCACGAAGTGTATCAGCAAAGCCAATTACGAGACCGATCCCGATGAGGAGAAAATTAATCACCGCATCCCACATAGATTTGAGTTTTACTCTAATATCTCGGCCAATTGGTGCTGTCATTGCGGATACTTACTGCCCTTTGGCCGGAAGAATTCGAAGAAATGCTCAGGTAAGGTCCTTGTTCAAGCGATGATGTTACAACGCGCTGATTTTCATAAGAATGTGGGCTCACCTGCCACGCTCAATGCGCACATCTCGTGCCTGATTTTTGTGGCATGTCAATGGAGGTAGCCAACAAAATCCTCGAGACTCTCCATAAGACCAAGAACTATAACAGGGCTGGAGGTGCCATGGCTGCCAAAACACTTCGTCGTAGTGATAAACAACCCGCTCCTGAGACACAGAAACCTACAGATGCCTTTGGTCCACAAAAACCTATATCCGCCGACGCTGTCAGTGCCGCGCATTTGTCTTACACGGCGCCCCAGTCTGGACCAGCTGGTAGACCAAGCGCACCTCCGACAAATACTGCGGCTGCGGCTGCAGCTGCAGCTGCTGGTATGCGACCTCCGTCTCAACAAGGAATCCCCTATGACCGAAATTCCACAGACTATACCAATAATAGACCTCCTTATATTGAGACTCAGACACAACCAAAGCCACCACCTCATGCCCATTATGATCCAAGTGCATATGCAAGCATAGATACATACTCGCAGCCACCTCAGCTTCCTCCAATTCTAGTATCGCAACAGGTACCCCATCATTACGGTATGCAACAGCAAACTCCAATTGCTACCCAGGCGCCCCAGGTATCGCTGCCTACAAAAGAGCAAATGCAGGCACCCGTCCCAATTCAGCAACCACCGAAGCGAGTTGGTTTGGATCACTTCAACTTCCTTGCTGTGCTCGGAAAAGGAAACTTTGGGAAGGTCATGCTCGCAGAGACTAAAACGACCAGGAAACTCTATGCTATCAAGGTCTTGAAGAAAGAGTTTATCATTGAGAACGATGAAGTTGAAAGTACGAAGTCTGAGAAACGAGTCTTCTTGATTGCAAATAAAGAGCGACACCCGTTTCTTCTGAACCTACACGCATGCTTCCAGACTGAAACCCGTGTCTATTTCGTCATGGAATATATCAGTGGTGGCGATTTGATGTTGCATATTCAGCGCGGCCAGTTTGGTTTAAAGCGAGCACAGTAAGACCTGTCCGATTACGCTGATGGCAGGGATGCTGACATGAATTAGGTTTTATGCTGCCGAGGTTTGCCTGGCGTTGAAATACTTCCACGAGAACGGCGTCATTTATCGCGACTTGAAACTCGATAATATCTTACTCACTCTTGATGGTCACATTAAGATTGGCGATTATGGTCTTTGTAAGGAGGATATGTGGTATGGTTCCACCACTAGTACATTCTGCGGCACTCCGGAATTTATGGCGCCTGAGGTACGACTCCCTTTCTCTAATCGATTCATGACGTACTAATAACTGATTATATAGATCCTGTTGGACAAGAAATACGGACGTGCAGTCGACTGGTGGGCGTTCGGTGTCCTCATTTATCAAATGCTTCTTCAGCAGTCTCCTTTCCGCGGAGAGGATGAAGACGAGATTTATGACGCCATTCTGGCCGATGAGCCTCTGTATCCGATCCATATGCCTCGTGACTCGGTTTCCATCTTGCAAAAACTGTTAACCCGGGAGCCAGAATTGCGGCTCGGCTCTGGCCCTACCGATGCACAGGAGATCATGTCTCATGCATTCTTCCGAAATATCAATTGGGAGGATATCTACCATAAACGGGTCTCACCGCCGTTCTTCCCAACAATTACCAGCCCGACTGATACAAGCAATTTCGATCAAGAATTTACAAGCGTGACTCCCGTTCTTACCCCTGTGCAATCTGGTAAGTAGTCATGAACTCCTATGTTGATGTACGTTTACTAACTTATCCTTCCCACAGTCCTTTCTCAGGCCATGCAAGAGGAGTTCCGTGGATTCTCGTATTTTGCAGACTTCGTGTGATTTCCCACTTGCAAATAATTGATTCAGACTACTACGTCATATTCTGCTTACATGAGAGTTTTGTCCTCTTTTTCTTTTTTTTCCCTTCAAACGGATTTGACGGGTTTACGATGATGTAATTCCACATACCCCTTAATGTGTCACAAAAATGCAGCAGGTCGGATAACAAGCAGAAGAAAGCAGGTGTGGTTCTACTATTTTTACCAACGGAAAGTTTGGGAGGTCAGGTCTCTATATCGTTTCCGCCTTTTCTAAGGTTATCCCAACGCTCTCCTCGGGTTCTATTGTTTTTCCGTCCTTTTGGCGCTAAATCCGTTAACAGTGCTTCGTATAACACCAGTAATTTTCCCCCAATAGCCTCGCCAATAGAACTTATTTCAATCTTCATTTTTCAGCTGATGAGAGCGAGTTATTTACAGAATTCGATATTATTTATTAGATGAAAATCATCCGCCCAAGAAAGTGAAAATAACTAAAAGCACAAACCGACGAACGAGGAGAGACTTGTCAATTTCTCTCAGAAAAAGCAATCCCTGAATAGCGAAGGTGCAGCACAAGTTGATGCGAATCTGAAGTCTACATTCCCGGACCAAAGCCCACCAATGGGACCCTTGCCGTGCTTCACCCGGATCTTCACCAAATTGCACATTAACCATGGCAAATTCATGGGACCTAGATGAGATTTTTGCGAATATGTCCTTGCCGCTCAAAGAGAAGACATGGTGTCTGATTCTGAAGGCCCTTCTTCTGATATCGAAGTTTTAATTCCCGACTACGAAAAATACGTTGATCCTTGCTCCGAATTTAAGTGGCTGAAGGTGATTGATGGTGAGACTATATATCAACGGTCCAGTCGTTCACGCTTGGTACATAATCGGGCACTGCAGGGCATTCCTAATTTGAAGAAATAGGACTGAGGATACGTTCCGGCATAATATGGAGGAGCCGGAGCATGAAATGGCCGAGCTGGCATTCGAGCTCTTTGATCAATTCGGCTGTTTTCAATCCCAGTCCAAGAAACACCCGGTGAAACGGGGATGGGGGGTCTGGAGTGACGAGCCGAACAATAGAAATACTATTTTGATTGAGGAGTTGACAATTTCACCAACCCATCAACAGCAAGGGATAGGTCCCAGGCTGGCTTGTGCAGTCCAGGAGCTAGCTTCAGAGAAAAGCGGAAAATTTGTTGGGATAAGTTGGCCGGGGGTTTCTTGAACATGAAGTGCATCGTGAAACCTCTGGTGGGGAGACTGTTATCAGGAGACAACTTGAGGATGCTGCGCTCTCCTTCTGGGGAACATTGGAATTCCGGGGAATTAGTTCTTCTCGCTGGCTCGGGTATTCGCCCGATGAACAGCACCCAAGTCGCTCTCTATCACCTGGACAGGATTTTGACTTGCCTCGCTTCCAGAGGATGCCTCCTATACAGGAGATTGACCTTTTTAATCAAGGCACTCCCAACCATCGATGATCCAGAGTGCCTGACTCGGCTTGGAAATATCTTTGGCGATGCTTTTCTAGACGATACCAGATGGGAAGCCACAGATGAGGACGGCAATACACTACTTCATCTCGTGCCCTCTTCTTCCAAGGCGTAAACTGCCCAGTGGCTGATGCAGAGGGATTCCGGCCTCCTCTCTCAACGGAACGCCCATGGGAATACCCCAGTGGAGGTCATGGAGGCATCAATGGAGCGAAAACGGATAATCTACGAGCACGGATTTAAAAGAACAGACATCTCCGACCAGTTTACCGGATACGACGACGTGACGATCTCATGCCTAACCATGCTTAGAGGACTCGTGCTGAAGCAGATATTAGAAGCTTAGCTCTCGCGTCTGAAATTTGGCTGTACATGTGGTAGCTGCCTTGGGGGGTTCCTTAACACCAACTTGCAAGATATGTTGCCTTTTCATGCCGAGACAACGTTAGACTTCACTTACACGATTGGAGATGAAAGGGACAGAAAGTCTTGGTGTTCGGAATTTGAAGATGACCTTGATTACCTTTCCGAGCCGATTGCGCAGAGTTTAGCCACAAACAAGGACTCGAGAACTGGTTTTCGCATGTTGTGGAAGTATCTTGCTAACTGTATTAGGGCAAATACGTTGCCTACAGGAGAGAATCTTCTGCTCCTTGTTCAAAATGTGAATGAATGGCCACCACACTGTCGGAATTTTATTCAAAGGGGGAAGCTATCTCATCGGTAGCTAATATGTTATTCAAGAAAACGATGGTGTTAAGGGGGCTTTTATTACATATTAGCACCCAAGAGCCGAGAAGGAAAATATACACAGTGTCGCAGAACTTGCCATGGAAGTAACATTATCTTGGTACCACGAATCCAATTGTTGTTCGGTTTAGGTTCATCTAACTCGTTAGCACATTGGATTGAGCATCTCTCAGAGGCCTCACGCGCATCACCTGCCACACCCGCGCTGAAAAGCGGCATGCCTCCAGCACTCCTGCGGGACTAGGACTAGTGCTAAAGAAGTACTTTGGGAACATCCAGATTTCCTTTTGAATTTGGGAGGTGGCCAGCAGGCACAGAGTGCTTTATACCAAGAAAGCCCGATACACCTGCGGAAGGTCTATACCATATCAACTACACCGGCCTGAAGCTTCCTCTGAAAGAAACAGTGGCAGCATGGTGTCTTTAGCTTTCTGAGGCATAGACTGACAACAAATGTCATTGTTCAAGATGGGACATGCATCGTGCGCTTTTTCATTCCTGACAAAGCCCATTCACTAGTCATAGTGTGGATGACAATGCCTTACATGTCTATATGCAAATCAACTTTGTTTTTCCAGTGTCTGGAAGCCGAACTTGCTAGTTCTTTCTGCTCAAACATCTTCAAATACCCGCAGTTTCCAGTCCAGTGGCATCCACATGGCATTGTTAAGCAATATATGTTTCATTTTCCTGTCCTGCGCTGATACTAAGTGAACCTAGCTGCTCTGGAGGCGAGTCCTTCTTTTTTAGTTTCGAAGTTTCACCACTTTCCGCCTAATGGCTGACGTTGATGAATATGTCTTGTATCAGTACTGGAACTGCATATATAATGGTGACCGTCCGACACCTCACCGCAATCAGAACTTTGATAAAGGCCTTGACGGCGACACTTTAGTAGGCGATGCAAATACCCCCTTCAAAAAGCAAAGACGACTCGCCGGCCCTCGCTATACACTTCCGAGACCTGATCGATATATGCGGAGGGATACATCTTTGGACATTCATGGCAATAGCTCGGTCAGCTCCGCCACACTGTGTGGCGATGATGATGATGCGGAGCCTAGACACAGGGCTAAACTTTCGGAGTCTGATATTGAGTCCGGAGGGCCTTTCAATTCCGGAGATCAAGACGTAAATGCAAGGCCAGGTAGGGCGTCAACGGGCGCACGGATCTTGGATGATACTTCTAACAGCTCCGTACCTGAAAACTATTTAAATCACACGATTGTTCCCCAAGGCGCACAAGAGAATTCTCTCTCCGCTGATGCAAGCCTGACGGAAGGACATAGTCTAGAAGCGCTTATAGGGGCCAAGCATCAGGACGAGGAACCAAAAAGCTGGGCGGCTGCTGTTGAACTCCCCTCTGGTTATTGGGCAGATGCGGAACTAGAGCTTCTCTTCCGGCTTTCTACGCGAGGACTCGAGTCTCTGGTTCCCAGCACTTGGAGATTGGACTTTCCCATGTTCCCCAGATCATTGTTTTGCGAGTGCGGGACAAAAGATTCCTTTATTGGGTCAATGAAGGGGCGAGAGTTCCGTGGTACGTAGACCCCTTTGATGAAGGCAACTCCCAAGAAATATTGAATACTAATGGTCAAATATAGCAATAAAAGCTCTCAAAAGCGTCCTATCCATAGGACCTCGCGCCGTGAGAGACCGCCAGCTTTGCCATCTTCGCCCAGAACTTGCCGTTAAACGCATTTTGGATTCCTATATCCGCTGGGCGCTTTGGGACGCGGACATACTTCATCGCTGGTGTCTTATACCACTTTACACTGTATATGCTCTCCGGGAGAAGCAATCAGTCAGTTCCGGCGTGAAGTTCACTATTCGCAACCTTATATCAATGACCAACCGATATCGTACTACACAGCGTTTGAAGCAAAACGCTCAAGCTCGAGCCAATATTATCAACAGTCACAACCAGGGATATGAGAAGTACGGATTTCCTGTCCTTACAGGGTTCTTGATATGCGGGTCAATTGTTGCTATTATCACATTAGACTCGGATCCCACTGCAAGACCTGCGCTTGATCCGGAAACGTCTGCCCGGTTTATTGCAAAGTTAGACTTTAGCGAACCTGGCCAAGACGTGTGGAATTCTCTGGCAATCGCAATTTCCGTAGTTTGGATGCGGAATAGGATGTTGCAGCTGGGCAGTAAGATACTGAATCCGGAGCGTCTGTGCCTTGATCCCAATTGCGGCTGTTCTGGCAAAATTTCATAGTGGTAAAATTTAACCATGAAAAACCCGTGAAGCCGATAACCATATCGTCAACAAACTAATTTCCATTGGCTTTTATTAATGTATCAAGAATAAATTCAGCCAATAGAAGTTTAAGATTTGAACGTGTTTCCAAGGCGCTAGTATCATCACTGTAAGGCATCAACACTCCTTACAAGCCGCTTGATCTCAGCACGCAATGGACACCCATAAATAGCGATGGGTTCAATAATACAAGGTCACGCATCGTGAATCATGGATGCGCCGGGAGACAGAGATATTGAACTTCAGCGTGCCTCTGGGGATCTTATACATGAATTCAAGGCAAAATTACCTCCCCTCCTTTGGAAATCTGCTGGCGATAAGCGTCAAGTCCATCGATGGGCCCAACGTGTACGGACAGAAAAGTTAAGGACCCTTGTAGGTGCGACCTTTTCTTCTACAGAGAGAAAATCGTGACTAAAGAAAGATACAGTTAGAACCTTTCCAGGAATGGCCACAACTGTTAGATCCTCACTTGCAGGGAATATTATCCCAACTGACCGATGCCTTTCTTACCTACCTTGAATTGTATCAAGATCAATATGCCTCCACTGCGGCTGTCACTATCCCTAAAAATGGAGCCGTGGAGCCGCTTCCTCGAGCTATTTGCAAACTCATCTACGTTCTATGCAAAGTTCGTGGCGTGAAAGTCATTACTAGGTTCCTCAACAATGAGCCAAGGTATCTTGAGCCCATTCTTCGCGCCTTCATCGACTGGGATAGCGTGGTTGCGGATAACGATGCGGCTGCGTCATCTATGGGCCAAGGACTACCGTTGACGTGGGAAGAGAGATATGTTATCCTTCAATGGCTGTCTCACTTGTTTCTGGCGCCATTTGACCTAGCATCAATCTCGTCTGACACCATTCCTATTCCGTATGATAACCTCTCTGTTCTATCTGGATTATCGGCTTATCTTCCTCCTGTGACGCGGTCTGCACTTTCAATCAGCCTAAAGTATGCGCTACTTCCAGGGAAGGAGAGAGAAACCGCCGTCGCTCTATTGGCGAGACTTGCATTGAGATCGGACATGCAAAAATTGGGTGTCCTCGAGGCGCTCATTAATTGGGCTTACAGTACGTTGGATTCGAATTCAAGTGGCTCAACAAACCCGGAATATGCAACTATCGGGATTTTGTCCTTTATTGCACGGCTAGGCGTTCAGGGTCGAGCGGATGACCTTGGTCCATATGTGGAATCTATATCTGATAGGACTATGGCGCTTACAATAGAAAAGTCTCCAGTTTGCAAGGCTATTCGGGCGTCCGCATTTGCTCGAAAGATTTTGATTAAGATTATCAGATCTATGGCCATCCTTACACTTGCGCTAGAAGAGAGGCTTAGTAGGGAGTTCTCGGATAAGAGCTCCACGATCTTAGAAAATGCAATCGATCATTTTCTCCTGTCACTTGCAGATAAAGATACCCCTGTGCGGCTGGCCGCGAGCAAAGCGCTCAGTATGGTGACTCTCAAGCTAGGTCCAGAAATGGGTTCTGACATCGTCGAAGCGGTTTTGGAGGCGTTGGAAGACAATATTCTCTACGAAAAGCGAGACGGTACCCTGATCTCCCGTTTCCAGGCCGAGAAGACCGACCCGAGCCTCATCAAACGGAACACAAGTGCTGTCAATACCCAAATATGGCACGGACAGATCCTGACCCTGGGGCACCTGCTTTTCCGACGAGCTTTGCCTTCGAGCAAGCTTGGGCAAGTGCTACAATCATTATTCTGTGGCCTTGACTTTGAACAGAGGTCATCAACTGGAAGCTCTGTCGGGAGCGGCGTTCGGGATGCATCATGTTTTGGCATTTGGTCCGTTGCTCGAAAATATTCCACTAAGGAGCTTCAAGTTTTGGATCCTCGCGAGGTGAAAGTTAGAACAAGTCAGGATGACAACGTCTTGCAGGTTCTTGCCATTGAGCTGGTTTGTGCAGCGTGTTTGGATCCCTCCGGAAATATACGTCGAGGCGCTTCAGCCGCCTTACAAGAATTGATTGGTCGTCACCCAGATATGGTATTTGAAGGGATATCTCTTGTCCAAATTGTTGATTATCATGCAGTCGCTCGCCGGGCAAAAGCCATGCAGGAAGTTGCAAGGGACGCTGCAGCCCTTGGAAGTATATATTGGTTGCCGCTCTTTGGCGCATTGCTAGATTGGCGTGGAATAGGATCCCCGGACTCTCGGTCAAGAAGGGCTGCTGCCTCTGCAATTGGAGAGCTGAGTTCACAGGGAAGTTATAATACCATACTTGCTGTGCTGTGCCAGACCCGTCAACGTCTCTCGGATATGTCGCCATACGCTATTGAGCCGCGGCATGGGTGTTTGCTATCACTGGCAGCGGTGATAGAAACATTCCTATCCTTTAAACTGACAGAACCTGATCCCGATGGCACTGCTCGCCAGATCGCATCCGAAGTATCTAAGCTCTGGGAGATTTTAGATAGCAAAACAGGGCCAACCAAAGAGAGCCTCACTCTTTCTGAGCTTCGACCTGACTTGATTGCGGAAGCGTCTGCACGCTTCTTATCCGCACTTGCTCGATCATATGCTCCGGCGGCTGGACAAAGTGGCCCAAGCCGAAGGCTCCCAGAAAAGTTTCTTAATAAAGCTATTGACATTTTGGGGCTTTGCGTTTGCCGTAGCGATGATATCCCTATGAAGGCATCGTCCGAGGCAGCCTCTGATCTTTTTGTGCTTTTATCCTCGGAAAAGCAATTGGATGTATTGAAACGGTGGCTAGACAATATCGATGCGAGCTGGAAGTCCGCAACAGGCCAAGGCCAAATTGCAGCCTTGGGAGTGGTATTCAAGCATGTTCCAACTGCAGGCCAGGGAAGAAAATTGATTTTACGCGGACTTCTTAAATCAACTGCAGTCGAAGAGTTGATTGCTAAGCGGAAATCTGCCGCGCAATGCATTGCAACGCAGATTTTGCCATTCTCAGGTTCCGTATTTTCTTCCCTAGCAGGAAATGAAATGCTACTAACAGACACTTAAAACAGATGAGATTGAACTTCTTTCCAGCCACCTTCAAGTGTTCCTAAATGATTACACAACAGATAGGAGGGGTGATATTGGCTCATTAATTCGACTCGAAGCCATCGGCGGCGTAAAACTCAATCTCCAATCTAAATTCAGGCGGTCGCCTTACACACATGATTTAATGAAATGTGTAATTAGGCTTGCCGCGGAAAAGCTAGATAAAGTGCGCTTTGAGGCGTGGAAATGTTTTGAGGCCTTCTGGGGTTCAGAACCTGCCCTGCCCCCATTACAGATGTGAGTATACTCTCCATGAAGTATTCATTCAGAAGCTGATCATCCCCAGGATGTATGAACATTTAAGTGAAGTTTGCACAGTAGAGTACTTCTTACAACTCTTTATTCTCCTTTCGGTTGACTGGCTTCGACCATCTCTATTAAAGGGGTTAGTGACGTCTTTCAGCGCCGGTACAGAAGGTTTAGTTCGAGCCTCGCGACTTGCTCTGGTGCAGTTTATTCAAGAACAGGCTGGAGACGATAGCAACCGGTTGAAGCTAAACATTTTCAATGACATGATGTGGGTATTAGAGAGCACGATGGATGATGATCGTTACGCTATACCGGCTGTTGATACCATCTGTTTTCTCCTCGGCAATTGCTTCGAAGACTTAGCAGGTTTAGATCTTAAGTAAGTATGGTATTAGAACAAAAGTTAGCTTGTTGGTCGCTAAACAAAAACTGTACAGTTTCCGAAAATTATTTCTTCTTGTCCAAAAGTCACACTTTAAGTCCTCGAACATACCCAGAATCGAGGTTGCAGTTAAAACATACGCTACCCTACTGCGCCAGGAATGCATTCAGAAAGACGTTATGAAGAAAATGATGAGTCTGTTACTACATTCGTACCCCAAGGTATGCAAATGTTGATTATGGGGGATATTCTCGAAGTTGAAAGAAATGATGGCTAATTTGCACTAGATTCGCTCGATCACCGCTGAATGCCTTTTCATGGAGATAAACAATGAAATATTTAAGAAGACCGATTGGCTATTGTCACCACACCAGCTGAAAACTACCGTGGATAAACTACGACAAGAGTATCGTCTCACTTAGAATATATATATATATATATATATACATAGACATGGAGTCTGAAGTATCATTGAAAATAAAAGCATCCAAAAGGTGACCCTTTTCAACATTATGTCAATTTTTCAGTACTCCAGCTGTCGGCCTAACTTCCCTGGCATAGTGGATGAGGCAACCCCTTTTAAGAATGCCCTAGGATTACTTCTGCTGCTGAAGATTGTAAATTCTATGGCAAATGTCATGGAACAGTATTGAGTCAGAAAGATATCCCGCTGTTACTTCGTTTTTATCATGAGGTTGAAGCGCAATAGAAACTACTAAGCTCTGAGGTTGATGCGGATGGATGGAATGGATGGAATGGGTGGAATGGATGGTGCTCTTAATGTAAAGCGGCGATGTGTTCTTGGTCGCGTAGGTTATAAATGGGCTTAAAACAGCGTCCAAAACAGGACTAGAGCTGGACCTGCCCAGGAAGCTTGTCGGCCCGACATTTCCCCGGCTGCTTTCCTGCATCCATAGCACGAGATACTTGGATCAACACTGCTATCTGGAGGAGCTTCCACTAAGAATTTGTGATTGAATATACTGTCGCCCTGGAGATGGCAGTCCTAGCTCCAGCCGCTTCCGGCATACCGCCGAATTCAACGTAAGCTCCGTCCCTTCCCTCCTCGCGCCTTTTCAAGTCCGGTACAGAACTGATGTTTTCGATAGAGTCTATGTCCGCGCCAGCCTTACACCTTGTTCAGATATCCCTCTTGCTGACTACATCATTGCATTGTGCAGGTCCGAAACCTTGAAGAGAGAATAAAGGTAGAGCAGTTAAAGGAAGCCCTATCCGAAATCTTCTCCGAGTACGGCTCCATTCTTGAGATCGTCGCAAAGACAAACGTCAAGGCGAAAGGCCAAGCTTTCATTGTGTTTGATAACGTCGACTCTGCAACACGCGCTATTGAGGAGATCAATGGGTTTGAGTTGTTCGAAAAGCCCATGGTGTTGGACTATGCGAAAACAAGAAGCGATGCTACGGTCTTAAGGGAAGGGGGTGAACAGGAATTAGAGGCACATAAGAGGAAAAGATTGGCTGAGAAAGGTTTGTTGATAACGCCTTTGGATAACTTAGAGTGTAATCCCTGTGCTAATTTGCTTTCCTGGACATACAGAAAGAAAACAAGCCCAAGAAGCACTCGAGGCCCAGAAGAAACTGAAGAGACCGGCCGCCGCCACCGCAGATACTCGCCCAGCCAAGACAACGAGAGGAGCAGGCTTGAAACCAACTGGTGCTGCTGCTGCGCCGGTCATACCAGATGAATATCTTCCACCCAACAAGATTCTGTTCTTAAGAGAGGTCCCGGATTCATATGATGCGAGTGGCCTCACGGCTATATTCAGCCGCTTCGAAGGATTTAAAGAAGTACGTATGGTCCCAGGTCGAAAGGGAATCGCGTTCGTGGAGTATGAAAATGAAACCGGAGCCATCAGTGCAAAGGAGGCAACATCTGGCATGGCGTTGGGCGAGAATGGAAAGCCAATGCGGGTCACCTACCAGAGACAGTAGTCATGCGGGGATTCTCCCGTCTTTTTCTTTTTTTTTTTTTTTAAAAAAAACTTTGTGGGATGATATGACAATACTCTTTGGTCGTTGGGGCGTCTGGGTGGTTTTTTAATGATGGATTCGGTAGCCAAGTTAGCATTGAGTTCCACAGTAGTCAATACAAAGCGCCCGGTTGTGTACTAGCTATACATCTGGAATTATCATGTGAAATATAATTTCCATGGCCTAAAAAATCACATCTTCATCCTCTTCCTGCGCCAATAGGTCTGCAGGGCCATTGTTACTGGGAGACTCCTTTCCGGCAGCCCCCTCCGCTTTGTCCCGCCTTGCTTTGATCTCTGCATCCAATGCAGCTGTGTCTCTTTGCTTCTTGTTCGAAACCTAATGCCAATTGTCAGTACCTGTCGTCGTATTGACCCATGATTACATACCTTTTTTAACCGGTAGAATTCCTCTCGGTCGAGCTCATCCAACTCTGAGTTGATGTCTTGCATTATATTAGTATGCATTAGTAGAATTTAAGGGCGCGAAGACGACCTACATTTAATTGTGTTCTCAGTTCGAGGAATGATGACATGCTCACTAGGTACGAAAGTTAGAATAGATAATGGGACATAAGATGCCTGGTTTTTAGGTCGTCCGTACATTGCATTCACTGGCAAGGGACGGTTAGCAGAAGAACGCTATATTCATATGGAGCCAAGCATACCTCTTCTGTTTACCACCTTAATCACTTCGTCTAAGATTACGAATGCAGTCTTCAAAGATATTCAGCCTAATTCTCACAATACCTGGAGAGTATGCTCACCTGTAGACTCGCAAGCTCAACGAGCGTCTCGACCGCCCTCGCGTACGTCTCACGACATCTTTGTACCTGTTGGCCTCCCTTGCCAAGGCCAGTCAAACCGAAATCGTTGCTTCCTTCCGCAGTAACACTTTCAAATTGCGGCAAAAGGACGCCCGAGACGTTTTCTTGCTTTGTTCGAACCCGAAAGCGGGCCTGCTTGGCGGACTCCTGAATCTGAAAGCCGATATCACCGCCAACCGCGTACGACACCTCAGCGAGGGAGAAAGCCGCGATTTGCATTACACGGCCCATTTTCCGTTTAGCTTCATCGATTCGCCGCGTAATGTCTGCTGAGGATTAGATTTGTACTAAAGGATAATTTGCACCGGGGATCCATCAGACCTCGGAATCGCCTGTACTCAACGAGATCTAATCAGCCGGAAAGAACCGCATAGAATAAAGACACGTATAACAAGCGTACTTTGTCAATGCTTCACTTTTGCGTTTCAGGAGACTGTGGCCTTGTTCCGCACCCTTCAGCTTGCCTTTCATCAGGCCCAGCGATTGTCGGGTGGGAAACACGGCTTCTCGATCCTAGCAGCCAGCAATCAGAGACGACAACTTGGCAGAATTTCATCACGCCGGAGAGCTTACAGCTGATCCGGACATCTTCAACAATATGCGAGCACCCTTTGATGAAATGAAACTGGGGAGCAGGCGCCTTACGTTTCGGCGCCCGTCATATGACCACCACAGCGATTAGACGTCGCGCGGTCATACGAATGACGCTGTCCGCAGAAGCTTGGACCACCCAGACTACGGACGCGCACCGTTGACTGACTAATTTAGTGGTCAGCCCGCATTGATGTCACGTGAGCGCGGCCATTCCTTTCAACATCCAGAGTTGACCCAAGTGTCAAAGAATTGCAAGCGCCAACAATCACCGTTGACTACAGGTCTTACATTTCAGGAGCACAGTGGCGACCTCACATAGGTCCCACTCTCGCGAGTGGTGAAATGCCGGGGACCGTTTTGAACGCCAGAGCTTCGCAGCAGCGCGCAGAAGTCGACAAGATGGATTCAGCTCGGTCTGATCTCTATTTGATTGTGAGCGCTGATCTTTTGGATTACTCCGGTCGTTGTGCTGATATATTTTTACGCAGTCCAGCGAGGATGCGGTGTATGAGCAGGATATTCTGCGCGATCCGGCCAGCATTAAACCCTGGCTTTCATATATCGAGTTCAAGCAGCAGAATGGAACAGCGTACGAACAGGCGTTTGTAAGTGACCGTTCGCCATAAGCAATGGAGCCTTACCTAATATCAATTTAAAAAGGTCATGGAGCGGGCTTGCAAGCATCTCCCGAGGTCATACAAGCTGTGGAAAATGGTATATGGCAGTTTCCTTCCTTCTGTTTTCTTTGGGCGGTAATTGACCGTTGCATAGTATCTCGAGTTCCGAATCAAACATCTCCGAGGGCGAAACCCGGCGGTTCATCGAATAGAGTATCTCAAGGTCAATGCTCTCTTTGAACGGGCCGTCATTCTTCTCAATAAAATGCCACGGATTTGGGAAATGTACCTCGCATTCTTGCTAGAGCAGCCGTTGGTTACGCAAACTCGGCGAACGTTTGACCGTGCCCTTCGCGCTTTACCAATCACCCAGCATAATCGAATATGGAAACTGTACAAGTCCTTCGCGGTCTCTGCTTCCGGTGACACGGCCGTCAAAATATGGGATCGTTACATGCAAATACACCCCGAGAATGCCGAGGAATACATCGATATCTTGGTGGAGATGAAACAATATACTGATGCCGTGAGACGATATATTGAGGTCCTAGACGATCCAAGATTTCAGTCCAAAAAGGGCAAAAGCCATTTCGAACTCTGGACAGAAATGGTAGAGCTACTTGTCAATCACGCCAAGGAGATCGAAACAGGCCCGCAGTCGGGAATTGACGTGGCGGCAATCATTCACAGCGGCATTGACAGATTTCCCGACCAGAGAGGTAAACTCTGGGTTGGTCTAGCGACATACTGGATCACTCGCGGCAATTTCGAAAAAGCCCGGGATGTTTTCGAAGAGGGTGTCACAACCGTTATGACGGTCCGTGACTTTACAATGATATTTGATTCCTACGTTGAGTTTGAAGAATCTATCATTAGTGCCTTGATGGAAACAGCCGCTGTTCGTTTGGATGAAGGGAAGGCCGATGAGAATGCTGACTTCGACCTTGACCTTCGTATGATGAGATTCGAGCAACTGATGGATCGCCGACCCTTTTTGGTTAACGATGTCCTTTTGAGACAAAACCCCAACAACGTCGTAGAGTGGAACAAACGAGTGGCTTTGTGGGGCGATAATAAAGAAGAAGTTGTCCGCACTTATGGGGCTGCTATTGCTGCAATCAACCCCAAGAAGGCTCACGGGAAATTCCACGAACTCTGGGTTAATTTCGCTAAGTTTTACGAGAAAGGTGGAGATCTCGCTACCGCAAGGATAATTTTCGACAAAGCAGTCAAGGTGCCTTTCAAGTCCGTCGAAGAGTTAGCTGAGATCTGGTGCGAGTGGGCAGAAATGGAGCTGCGGAACGAGAATTTCGATCAAGCTGTGAACATTATGGCCAAAGCTACTCTCTCATCTAAGCGTTCTACCGTCGACTACTTTGACGATAAGCTGACTCCTCAACAACGCATACATAAGAGCTGGAAGGTATGGAGTTTCTATGTTGATTTGGTGGAGAGTGTTGGGAACCTTGATGAAACGAAGAATGTATATGAAAGGATCTTCGAGCTTCGGATTGCAACTCCCCAGACAGTCGTCAATTATGCCAATCTGCTGGAGGAGAATAAGTATTTTGAAGAATCCTTCAAGATCTATGAGCGAGGTCTTGATCTCTTTAGCTATCCAGTTGCTTTCGAGCTGTGGAACCTCTATTTGACCAAAGCCGTTGACCGGAAAATCAGCATTGAACGATTACGGGATCTGTTTGAACAAGCCGTGGATGGATGCCCACCTAAGTACGCTAAGACTCTTTACTTAATGTACGGCAATCTTGAGGAAGAGCGGGGCCTCGCACGTCATGCAATGCGGATCTACGAGCGCGCGACTCGCGCAGTATCGGATAAGGACAGATTTGAAATGTTCAACTTCTACATCACCAAATCAGCATCCAATTTTGGCTTAACGTCGACTAGGCCTATTTATGAACGCGCCATTGCCGCGTTACCCGATAATGAAGCGAAGGAAATGTGTCTGAAATTTGCAGAAATGGAGCGCAGGCTGGGTGAGATCGATCGAGCTCGCGCAATATATGGGCATGCCTCTCAATTTTGTGATCCTCGGACCAACGCCGGTTTCTGGCAAAAATGGGAGGCATTTGAAGTTCAGCACGGTAACGAAGACACATTCAAAGAAATGCTACGTATTAAACGAAGTGTCCAAGTTCAGTACAAGTAAGTTTTAGATCATCCCTATCTATCTCACATAAGCAACATGCATAAACTAATGTGGAACTACAGTACGGATGTCAACTTCATTGCATCCCAGGCGATCGCCAGGAGCAAGCAACTTGCAAAAGAAGCAGCCGACGTCGCAGCCGCTGAAGAACCCGAGGAGCGTGCGGACGCCATGGCAGCTTTAGAGCGCCACGCCAAAGCTCCAGCCGGCTTTGTTCCCGCAAGCACTGGCCCTGAAGGAGGTAACCGCCCAGTTACAGAAAGAGATCAAGCACCAGCAACCAATCCCGATGCTATTGATCTCGACGAAGATATGGCTGCGGAGGAACCTCAAGAAGCCAGTTCATGAACAGCCCGACGCCACTCAATGCATTATCTTTGAGAACGCTTAACCGCTCTATTGAATTTCCACGATACCATATGTCGCACAAATTGCTCGGCATTTACATTTCCATTTTCATTTCTTGATATCTTGAATTGATTCGATGTTATCAGCTCAAACAACTTTTCTTCTTCATATTCAGTGAAGGAATTCTCTATCGTTCTCTACCTTTCTTATGAGTATATTTATTCCCTCACTCCTTTAGATCTACTTTTCTTATGTTTTCGATTCTGCGGATAGCTGGGGAAATGGATTTAGGCGTGGCTTATCAGCGATACGGTGTTCAACGGCGCGAGAAGGTAGACGGGCGTGCTGTCCTTGTGTACACCTACTCACATATCAAACAACCTTCCCCTTGGAGATATGCATGATTCTTCATTATCTTTTCATAATCAGGAGAATCTACTGCATATTGTTCTATGACATCTACTAGCCTCTCTAGAGTGCTATCACTGTTATTCTGTAGCTCTTGTATC